GCAGTGAAGGACAGAGTGGTAGTAGTAGTAGTAGTAGTAGTAGTAGTAGTAGTAGTCGTAGTAGTCGTGGTAGTCGTGGTAGTCGTGGTAGTCGTGGTAGTCGTGGTAGTCGTGGTAGTCGTGGTAGTCGTGGTAGTAGTAGTAGTAGTAGTAGTAGTAGTAGTAGTCGTGGTAGTCGTGGTAGTCGTGGTAGTCGTGGTAGTCGTGGTAGTCGTGGTAGTCGTGGTAGTCGTGGTAGTAGTAGTAGTAGTAGTAGTAATAGTAGTAGTAGTAGTAGGCGGCTTTTTGCTCTTGCTGCTGCAATGAATTCTGGCGACCTTTTCCTCCTGTCTTCTTCCCTGGCGCGCTCCCCCTTGCATCTGCCGGGGTCGGCGGATTTGGCTTCCAAAGGATCCTTAAAAAATTGGAGGCTGTCCCACCTACGACCGGTCTCAACATACACTCGGTTGATGATTTTTTTGGAGCTTGTACTAGCCAATACATTTGAAACTATCATCCTTCATGATGAGAACTCCCATTACTCGACCATTATGACGATTGGGATTTCAATCAACAATCAACCAATCAACACAATTCCCAACCAGCAACCAACTTATTGACGTGAATTAACAATAAACCCAGTTTTAGTTCCAAGTTCTAAGTTTCAACACCCAAGTTCAGCCGTGGCTGATCATTATATCCCCATATTATATTCCCCATTCAATCCCATTAATGTTTGCTACTGATTGGTCTGAGGGCCCCCCCCTCCCCCTCAAACAATTTAAGTATACTGAATAACTCGCATTTTTTGTGCTTGCCCTCAACAATTTTTAGGATAGTCAACTTAGGTAAGGATTTCAATGGAAATCAATTTACTTTCAATTGATTCTCAATTGAAATCAATTTAGTAATGGTTTAGTAACGCAGCTAATTATTTGGAAAACCTTGTATTTTAAAGCTTTAATTAACATGAATTATGAATATGGTTTTCTAAAGTAAAGGGACCAGCTTTACCCAAAGAAAGGTGGAGAACGGGTTTTGCTTTTTGTTCACTCCCAAAAGTTGGTGTGCACAATAGAGTACCATCCAAACAATTATATTATGATTGAGTATGTGAGCCACTCATGAGGTACCCCCTTGAAAAATTGTTTGGATGCTGTTTTTTTTGATAAGGGTTTAATAAGGCATCTAATTATTTGGAAAACCTTGCATGTCAAGGCTTTGACATGGATATGGCTTTCAAAAGTAAAGACCAACTTTACCCACAGAAAGGTGGAGAAATTTGTTTTTTCCACTCCCAAAAGTTGGTGTGCACAATAGAGTACCATCCAAACAATCATATGATTGAGTATTTGAGCCACTCATGAGGTACCACCTTGAAAAATAGTTTGGATGCTGTTTTTTTGATAAGGGTTTAATAACGCATCTCATTATTTGGAAAAACTTGCGTTTCAAGGCTTTGACATGGATATGGCTTTCTGAAGTAAAGGAACCAACTTTACCCAAAGAAAGGTGGAGAAATGTTTTTGTATTTCACTCCCAAAAGTTGTTGTGCGCAATAGAGTACCATCCAAACAATTATATGATTGAGTATGTGAGCCACTCATGAGATACCCCCTTGAAAAATTGTTTGGATGCGGTTTTTTTGATAAGGGTTTAATAAGGCATCTAATTATTTGGAAAACCTTGCGTTTCAAGGCTTTGACATGGATATGGCTTTCTGAAGTAAAGGAACCAACTTTACCCAAAGAAAGGTGGATATTTTTTTTTTTCACTCCCAAAAGTTGGTGTGCGCAATAGAGTACCATCCAAACAATTATATGATTGAGTATGTGAGCCACTCATGAGGTACCCCCTTGAAAAATTGTTTGGATGCTGTTTTTTTTGATAAGGGTTTAATAAGGCATCTAATTATTTGGAAAACCTTGCATGTCAAGGCTTTGACATGGATATGGCTTTCAAAAGTAAAGGGACCAACTTTACCCAAAGAAAGGTGGAGACAGGGTTTTGTTTTTTTTTCTCACTCCCAAAAGTTGGTGTGCACATTAGAGTACCATCCAAACAATCATATGATTGAGTATTTGAGCCACTCATGAGGTACCCCCTTGAAAAATTGTTTGGATGCTGTTTTTTTTGATAAGGGTTTAATAAGGCATCTAATTATTTGGAAAACCTTGCATGTCAAGGCTTTGACATGGATATGGCTTTCAAAAGTAAAGGGACCAACTTTACCCAAAGAAAGGTGGAGACAGGGTTTTGTTTTTTTTTCTCACTCCCAAAAGTTGGTGTGCACATTAGAGTACCATCCAAACAATCATATGATTGAGTATTTGAGCCACTCATGAGGTACCCCCTTGAAAAATTGTGTGGATGCTGTTTTTTTGATAAGGGTTTAATAAGGCATCTAATTATTTGGAAAAAAAACTGAAAAAAATGATCTGAGAAAGAAACTGAAAAAATGAAAAACAACTGAAAAATCTGAAAAAAACTGAACAAATTGAACAAATCTCACAATAGAGTTCCCCCCCAACAATTCTAGCGAACTGAATTATTTTGCAAAATGTTCTCACAATATATAGGTTATCATGACACTAATCGGTAGCTAACATCAATTATTTAGATTCATTCGGTTCCATTAAGTCCATATCGCTGATGGTTAAATTCCCTTTATGGTTCAATTAAATTATATATATATAGTTCCTTAATCCCATTATATCCCATAGGATCCATGTATGATATATATGGTAACATTTACCATCAATATACCCCCAATGTTAGCATATATACCATACATGGGTCCTATGGGTATAGATTCATTATTAGTTCAGTTAAATTCCCCTTTATCAATCCTCTTGACTTGCTGAAGGTCACTTTGCCTTCTCGGCGTTATGCAGTGCCGCCCAAAGGTGGCATTCCCTTTGCGCCACTCGGCTGTCAACGGGACAAAACAACACAAGGAACAGTTGGGGAGTTGGCAGAATATATAAAATCCCACATATATTTACTATATAATCTACCGTATCTCCAGACGGAACCAGGTATTTGATCATAGTTGAGCTACTACCTACAATCATGAACAGTATGATACAATACAATACAATAATATAGTAAAATAGCGCAAATGTTGACTTGGTTGAGTCCGAATACAATTGATGAACATCTTTAAATTTTAACTATCTTAAACTATTTGACGGTTTATAGATTATATTATTATCATATTATATATATATATATATATTAGATTATAAGAGGATATGGAGTATAGTTTTGAATTGACTTTATAGTCTCTCTCTCTCTATATATATATATATATATATTACGTATCATATCAATTAATGGTATTTAATTGTCACCATTCTATACTCATCGAAAGTGGTTCATGCGATCGGCGACAGACTTGGCAGCGAGGTTGAAGGAACCATATCCAGAGGCACCGAGGCCAGAGAAATGGAGTTTTCATGGGATTTACCCTGGAATTTTTGTTGGTTTTTTCATGGTTTTTTACCGGTGAATTTACCCTCTGGTAAACATACAAAAAGCTATTGAAAATCACCATTTATAGATTTTCCCATGAAAAATTGTGATTTTCCATAGTTATGTTTGTTTACCAGAGGGTACTCAGAAACAGTCAACCATCCCACTAGGACTTGGGAATAATGTGGATTGATTTCTACAATCAGGGTGTTTCACTGGGATGTTAATCCGCAACGCAAGGCAAGGCTACCTGTGCTCCAACATTTCCGGCATCAACGCATTGCTGGCTTCACGCAGAAATGTTTGAGTCTCAGCCATGCAAAATTTCAGTGTGAGTTTGTGGCTTGATACTGATGCCTCCAAACATGGAGGAAAATCCAAAGATGGATTCTTGTAACACAGATCGAACATATATTGAATATATATATATATATACATATTGAATATGGATGAACACGGACTTGCCTCATTTTTCAAAATGCAAAGGCCTTATCACGCAGCGGAGTTCTGGATGCTGCATCAAAACCTGGCGGCGCATAGCGGCGCAGTGGAGTTTCTGTTAGGACATTGGAGTTGGTTCAACAAAGTGATTAAGTAAGATTAAGTACATTAAGTACATACTACACGTCAGAACAGTATTATATAGATTGTAGTGTATATAGGTTTTTTTGATAGTTCCATGTGATGGATCCATGTTTAAGGTAGGTTTCATTGGAAGTGAATCTGGCCCAGAGATATTGTGAGTCTCAAACCTCAGAAAACTGCACCGGGTACAGAAACCGAAAGCTGCTCAGCCGAAGCAGCCGAAGTGGCCAAAGCCTTGCCACCTGTAGTATGTTGTAGGATGTTGTAGGAGTTTTGATAATTTGTTCCTTCCTTGGCGGTCCATTGTGGTTACTGATAGAGTCTTGAATGACCATAAAATAAACATGTAGGAGTTTCCTAAAGTGGTACCCCAAATCATCCAAGTCATGGATGACCATTTTAGTATTGAAACCCATGGTGACTTGGGGATTCCCCATAAGAATCTGAGATTCCGAGACCCATAAGGTGGAAGTGCAGAAAAAATTGTCAGGGACAGGAGCCGTGGCAAAACTCGCCGGACTCCAACTGTGGCCCGTGACGTTCAAAAAGAGGCCATGGTAATGGTGGATTTGAAGTCGGGTTTTGCCAACAGACCAAGCAAGGAGAGTTCTAAGGTTCAGGGTCAGGGTATTTAGATGTAGGGGTTTTAAGGTTTCGAAGTCAGACTTTTGGAAGCAGATGTTGTTGTTTGTTTTTGCGATATCCAACTGTACATGTGCAGAACTGAAACCCATTTTCAATCATTTTCTGTAATATATTTCTGCACTGGCAAATTTGATCGACTGGAAAAAGCAGCTCAAATATTATGAGTTTGCAGCAGTATGTTTCAGGCTGTTGTAGCAATCTCAGGTTTTATCATAATTTTCCACATTGTGATTGCCATTTATTGGTGGGAAATTCATGGAAATTCACCAATTTTGAGGACAAGCCATATAGCAAAGCGTTGCTCCTCAGCTTTGAGTCTCAAGCAGCAACAGAGGTGGAGGAACGAAAGGTGGGCGCAGGTTGGGTGAGTTTATTCATTGAGCTTAAGGGAAAACTTATAGGAAAACACCATTAATTCGAGTGGAACAAACATGAAAAACCCATGGCTTCATGTCTTTTTTGTGTAGATTTCTGTTAAAACCCATCTTGAGGATATGGTTATGTAATGCTGTTGATCCCTATGATTTTGCTGAATCCAGGGTTCATTTTGGCTTCCAAAATGACCAACTGGATGGCTGCAAGGTGAATGCAGGCTCTCCAGTTGGGGCCTCAGGTTCTGCATGTGCGAATCTAAAGCTTATGCATGGTACCTACTTCTCATAGTATGTCTACATGCACATGTTGCAAACGCATGTGATCCTATGTATTTGAGCATTGCTAAAGAACAGCAATGCAAAGGGCATGTTCCTGAATTGGGGCACCCGCCGAGCGAAACTATGGCCGGTGGGCCTGAAGAAACGATGAAACAAAAGTTGCTGAATCCGCTTTTATCCGCGTTTACTTTCGAGACTTGTACATCAATATCAGGCTGCTAAAGTTCGTTGATGCTGCTTGGAACCCAGTCACCAAAAGATCGTTGCTTCCACCTTGTCACGCGACCAGTCTTCAGAGTCGAACTGATTCAGATAGCATGTTTTCAAGCCATCAAAACACAAATTTGATTTGCCATGACATGAAGATACGTAAAGCACATGATCCAGAAAGAATAGAGCTTGAACAGACAGAGACACTTCATTCATTGCGCATCGCAGCATCGCAGGCGGATGATGGCATTGTGCTATTGATTCTCAGGCAGGCATCTCATTGCGCTAACCACCATTCGCATTGTACTTCCCACAAAAAGTGACAGCATCTACCAGTTCTGTTGGTTAAATCATGTTGAATCAATGTTTATTTGTTAAAATCCTCATCATCATCATCATCATCATCATCATCATCAACAACAACAACAACATGCATATTTCCTCATCCTCATCCTCATCCTCATCCTCACCATCATCATCATCATCATCATCATCAACAACAAGAACATGCATATTTCCTCATCCTCATCCTCATCCTCATCCTCCACATCATCATCATCATCATCATCATCATCGTCATCGTCATCCCCATCGCCATCGCCATCATCGTCATCATCGTCATCATCGTCATCATCATCATCATCATCATCATCAACAACAAGAACATGCATATTTTATTTCCTCATCCTCATCCTCATCCTCATCCTCATCTTCATCCTCATCCTCCACATCATCATCATCATCATCATCATCATCATCATCATCATCATCATCGTCATCGTCATCGTTATCGTCATCGCCATCGCCATCGCCATCGCCATCGTCGTCATCATCATCATCGTCATCATCATCATCATCATCATCATCATCATCCGCATGTCACCAGTTTTGGTGCCGCCAGGTGCTTGGGCACCGCCGCTTTGGCATGGCACTGAGGTATGGTTGTTGCTGAACTGTTATGTGTCCGAAAATTGTAATTTTTAGTGTGTGTGTGTGTGTGTACTGTATGGGGGGAATATGATGATAAACCATGATAAACCATGATAAACCAGCGGAATTTGCTTGTATACCGGTATATCGGGGATACCAATTTTTGGACAAACGCCATGGTTTTTCTCCTTTACTGGGCCCTTTTCGGAATGCTTTGTTGACGGCATTCAGGGGTGACATTCATTTGATCAAATCTGGAAGAATTGCTAAGCTGATTTCAATATGTTCGATCTGGTTCAACTACCCTTTGGTTATTTAACATAGCCATGGTATAGATGGCCCATTTATAGTAATTTATAATTATATAGATGGTTTACCGTTCTTAAAGATGGTGATTTTCCATGGCGAACTGTGGAAAATAACCAGATGGTACTTAACTTGGAGGAATAGTTTATCCCATGGCGATGAGGTCCGGCTTGCATCCACCTCTGCTTTTATGCTGGGCTCTTGGTCACCAACCCTTTGGCGCTTCAGCGCCTGCAAGACACGTTGCATGGGTTTGTCCAATAAAAGGGGTACTGCCAAAATCCATGAAAACACACTAAGAATATCCAAGAATGTTATTTTGGGATATTTTGGGATATTTTGGGTATCCCCCCATTTTAGACAACTTGTTTGCATGTGTTTGAGAACTATTGCAAAGTTGGCGAAACAAAGCCATACTGTAGTGCATGATAACGCGTTGTTTCGCTACATTTCCACATACGGACTGATGACGTTGACGTTCTGCATGAACAGAGGAACTTAAGACGATTGGCTGCCACACTTCCCCTTTGTCACACTGCCACACTTCGATGATCGAACCCCTCATTTTTTTCAAAGCGACATTCGACACATGTTGGTTGTGAAGGTTCACTTCCCAGGGTGTGAAGATCAGGATGCTGTTGGACGTAAACGAAGGGATTTCCAGAGTTTTCGAAGATCGGATGCAGAAAACAATGACACCAGACCTGTTTTGCACCAGTTTCTGAAGACGGTCTTTTTCGATGGAAATTGCTGTAGCTGATACAACAGAATTTTGCGATTGAAGCAAACTGACAAGTTTTTGCTCACAACATGTATTTCACATGGACACATGGTCACGTAGTTCCGTGTTCAAAAGATGAAAGATCGCGAAAAGTGGGTGTCAGCATCCATTGCCTGTCACATGATATGTTTTCCTGCAACCCAAGCCGGTTGCTACTGAGTTCTTCCCGCTTGGAAGATGGCAGACCATCCGTTCTGCATCGCCACAATCTCAGCTGTGTTTCAAGCTCCAGTAATCTTTGAGTTGACCAGATCTCGGAGTAGTTCAAATTGAAGTCCCAAAATGTGATTTACTCCAAAATCCAGATGTTGATTTGCCTTGGGGTATAGCATGGTCTAGCCAATATTCTGCAAAACACAGAATGAATAACTAAGTAGCCGCGTTGTTCATGAACAGAATAAATGGGTGGATGAAGACAAGCTATTCCACGTCTATCGAGGAGCATTCCGCATGCAGGGAAACAGTTTGTTTGGCCTTGAAGCAGACAAGATGATGGTTCAAAATGGTTAAAACAAAATATGGGGTTGTCCAAAACTTAGGTACAATGTACAATCCAAATACATATCCAGTCATCACCCAATAAAAAAACACAAACACAATTTCCACAAAACATCATATTCTCAAAGAAAGATGGCCATCGCATCCATCGATCAGCTGAGGTTATGTTGCTGAGTTGCTGGCCTTTAGATGCCCAGGCATTGACTTCTTTTTGTGGGTATACCGGGTAAACCATGGTATAGCCCATTTCCTGACAAACCACCAATGTGCGGGGTGTTTTTTCAGTACATGAATGATAGAATGATAGCGTTATTTTCTTTTGTGGTCGCGGTGAAGTGAGAGCGTTCTAAGCATTGGCCGGATTTCCAATAAGAGTTTGCGTTGCTGCTCTCTTTGCCAAACTTTAGTTCATTTGTTTGTACATCACTGTTTTGGAATGTTCACTTGGCAACGGAGAATGACTTGCTCACAACAGCATCGCCGCCGCCAGCTCCAGCCTTGCAGAAAGGCTCGGGGAGCTCCAAGTGGGCTCAGATGGGCTCGTGCCAAGCTGCCCCCATTTTTGTGGTTACAACAAGCATAGATTTTGTGCAAAGTGATATATATATATATAATTATACAATATTGTATATATATATATATATGTACATGAAATGTATCCAGATATTCCATTCCACCTGTTTGGGATACTGCTACTGTTGGTGGTTTCCATTATATGTGTTCAATATATGACAATTGTCCATCTGTGTTTTGAAAAATCGTCTTAAAGACCAGGATTGGTCCAGGTAATTGACACCACCAAGCGGAATACATCCACTGTTCCCAGAATGGGTTGAAGGGAAAATCATGGAAAATCTACAGGAAAGGAAAGGCGTTTGTTGGAGCAAAATATGGTTTTGCTGCATATTTTCTCTCAAACCAATCGATCCCAGAATTGTATGATGGGAGCAGGAAACCAGGAAATCTGAAACCTCTGCAATCAGTGGTAAAAGCCATGGTTTTGTGTATAGTTTGTCCATGTGTTTCCCTTCAACATTCTGAAACCAATCCATTAAACCCATATAAACCATTATAAACCCATACAAACCCATGGTTTGCTGTAGATTTTCTGCCTCTGGCCACGTTGAAAACCAAAGGCCCTTGCGCGGCGCTGCGTGCGCTCTGTGCAGCAGGCAGTGGACGAGGTCACTGCGAGGTGAGCATGCGATGATGTCGCTGTTAGGCATGCGGAACAGAATATTAAACGATTATATAGCAATTATATATAGATTATATAATATCATACCTATAGATAATATTAGATAATCATAATTTCTAATTTTAATAATATCTATTCCATGATATTGGAAATTATGATTATCTATAGGATAATTAATAATTTTGATTATCTGAGGATATCTATAATTATATATATTATATAATAATGGGATCTCCCATATATTTTGGTTATGATTATTATGGCATGATCATCGCATTCAAACTTGACTTGATGGAGACATTCCAAATTCTAAACAGGATAATGTGTGAACAATGTGAACTTGTGAACCTCAATGAGTTTATACAATATGTATCTATATATATATATACCTATGATATCCTATGATCATATGTATATAGATAGTATATGATCCTAGGTTTGATGTGATGCCATACACTTGCTGAGCAGTGCTGCAGTGGTTGCGCTGTTCAGGTACTGGGTCTGGCCTTGCTGTTGTCCAACTCCGAAGCGAATGAAGGCCGTGTGACCATGGCCGACTGAGCTCATGGAGAATTCCTGCTTGGGTTACAATGATTGGGTTGTTTATTAGATATGTCCCATCTTGAGTGCCATTTCTAACATCACTCCTGAAGAAGATGTGCATCTTTGTATGATTTGGTGTTGAAAATCCTCTCCAGATATGGCGCGAATGTTCCTGGACGCCATGTTCCGCCGCTTGGATCAAGAGATGAGAACTGGAAAAATACTGGAATGTCAAGCCGAGTCAAGCCTCAGAGTTAGATAGTGTTTTTGAATATATATATATATATTACTGCATATATGTATATACATATATATATATATATATGTATATGTATATATATATATATGTACATAATATATATATATATGTATATATATTATATATATGAATATATATATATGAATATATATATATATATATGTATATATACATACATCTGGGTAAATTATAACGACCTCACTGCGACCTCACCGGAAATCATGGTTAGTAAGGGAAATCATCCCCAAATGGCCTTAATTCAGGCTAGTGAAATATTGTAATTTACCCAGATACATACATACATACATACATGCATGCGTGCATGCATACATGCATACATACATGCATACATACATTTACATACATTTACATACATTTGCATACATTTGCATACATTTACATACATTTACATACATTTACATACATTTACATACATTTACATACATTTACATACATTTACACACATTTACACACATTTACACACATACATTTACATACATTTACATACATTTACATACATTTAAATGCATTTACATGCATTTACATGCATTTACATGCATTTACATGCATTTACATGCATTTACATGCATTTACATGCATTTACATACATTTACATACATTTACATACATTTACATACATTTACATGCATTTACATGCATTTACATGCATTTACATACATTTACATACATTTACATACATTTACATACATTTACATACATTTACATACATTTACATGCATTTACATACATTTACAGTACATGCGTTTACATACATTTACATACATTTAATTTACATACATTTGAATACATTTGGATACATTTACATACATTTACATACATACATACATGCATGCATGCATGCATGCATACATACATACATATATATATTTCATACAATACGTGTATGTATATATACATAATATATATCAGATGAAAGTGACCTTAAATTATACAACATCTGTGCTTCAGTTGAATATCCAATGTTCCATGGCCTTTCCTGTAGCTTAGTGTCAGAGTATCACCTTAATGGTTTGCTGGCTTATCACCTGGACTGGTTGGCAACACTAACGGTTTATTTTTTTAAAACCCATATCATAGTCAACCAATCTTTATTTTCAGTGATCTTGAAGAGTTTGTCCGCAAATCGGATACCTCCGGATCTTTTGGTGATTGTGACCTAATGTTGCCCATTAAGATTGTAATTCTTGCAGTAATTCAGCTATTTTTGGACCATCCCCTATCATATTTTATCATTATTGTGGATATTAATCTATCCTATTGTGACCAATGACATATCCCCATTTAGCCGCCATTTAGGACTAACAAATCCCAAAAAATCCCACATGTGCGTTTCTTGGGGGTACCACGGAAAATCACCTCCTGACTGGTTGATATTTCTTCCCTGTTAGTTGCACTTAACTTGGATGATTTAAATTAGGTTTCCTTATATGCCAGGGTTGGCCATTGGCAAAATTTCGATTATATACCTATATGTTGGGGGATTATCATCAATGCATTCATTGTTATCTATGATTTATATTCCCATTGTAAGGAATCCTATGCATGATGGTGGGATGACCATGACGAAGTACTCCCCCCGGTGTAATCTCAATGAATCTGAACCTTGAAGCTGTGAACCTGGTCCCCTGACATGTCTAAGAGAATCTAAGACTAAGTATGATGTTCTCATATGGGGGTGTCTTAAAATGAGGAATCCCCAAGTCACCATGGATTTTAATACTAAGATGGTCTGACGACTTGGATGATTTGGGGGTATGCCATGACTTAGGCAACCTCCATATCTTTCAGGAAATACACGCAAAAGCCATCAAAAACCAAAACATCCAAAACCATGGGCAGCGGACAGCCCAAACTCATTTGATCAAGGCTGGGAGCTGCACCAACGACAACCCGCGCCTGTCAAGTTTCAGGACTTGAAGGCGCCGACATGTTATTTTTCTTTTTGCGGTGCTGTGGTTATCGATTTAGCCAAATTTGTGGCCATTGAAATGTGGAAAATGAATGAACATGATGGTAAACCATTTTCAGATTTGGAAGCAACTGTGGCCATGAAGTATAAACAATGATCAGATATGTTGGTTAAACATGTCAAAAACAATCAACAAAAACAGAATTCGGTAGCATTTGGGGATGGGTTTGTGTCAAAATGATTGGCCCAAAAATTGGATGTTGTGGGTCTATCGGAACACCTGGTTTGTTTTTTTCCTCAACTTTTGACCCATACACCCAAATCAAACCGCCGATGGGTTCAAAAATGCAGCAGTGCAAAAGGGACTGACCATACAACAAAATTGAGCACGTTCGGTTTCAACACATTAAAACATATTAAAACCATCCATTTCTGCGGGATGAGATGCCAATACGTGTTGGCTAGTTCTTCATCGCACATTTCAGCCATAATCATAGCCGCAGGTTTAAAACTTGGGCATATTGAAGGTTGAACATGACCAAAAAAATGGAAACGGCAACATTTGGACGCCTGGAAATCATATTTGACCTTCCCTTCATAGGCGGACTGATACTTCGTCCAAAAGACATGAAACAATGTCCAAGACAACCCAATTACGTTATTGCTTGTTTTAAGGGCCTTTTCACTCTTGATATCCAGTGACTTCCGAAGGGTTTTTGCGCACGTTCCTTCAAGTTTGTTGCTGCGACTTTATGGAAGGCTCGGCAAGCTGTTGAGATCCTCCTCACCTCCTTGCCCCTTGGTTGAAGAACAGGTCTTCTGGAAAACTGGCACAAACATAGTCAACATGTGCTGACATAGTAATGCAATGTACATAATTCATACTAAATCATGATAATAACATGCATATTATATATATAGACATACGTAATATATATATATATACACATACAAATATACGTATGTATATACACATATATATTTGCAACAAGCTAGGAACCCTTGCCTTGCCCCTTTGACTGACATTCCACAAGCTGAGGTTTGATCCAAGAACCGAAGTGGGGTGCAAGCTCTTGACGATCACAGCCCAGGCTGGCTGAGAGCTGATCTCTATTGTTTGTTTTGGGGAGTGCTTGTGAACTGACGAAATCATGGTGCGGCTGATGCACTTACCAAATAGCTATGTTTGATACATAAGACATGTTATTTTTTGCAATGCCTTGGAAAAAGGGTTCATAGCATATTTTGTAGCTAGATTCATGCATCAGATAGGGAACATCTTCCGTTCTTCCATTCTGATCCTGATCACGTCAGGCCGTTTGCCAAGCTGAAAAGGATCTGGACACTTTAATTGAGGCTCAAGCAGAAACCTTGTGACTTGGCTTCTGAAGGGATTGCCAAGGGACGGGTCAGATGGCAGCCGTTCTCTGTTGGAACTCATTGTTGTTGGAACTAAGTGTTGTTGGAATTAATTTGTGTTATTTGTTGGAACTAATTGTTCTAAGTGTTGTTGGAATTAATTGGTGTTATTTGTTGGAACTAATTGTTCTAATTGTTGAAATTAATTGGTGTTATTTGTTGGAACTAATTGTTCTAAGTGTTGTTGGAATTAATTGGTGTTATTTGTTGGAACTAATTGTTCTAAGTGTTGTTGGAATTAATTGGTGTTATTTGTTGGAACTAATTGTTCTAAGTGTTGTTGGAATTAATTGGTGTTATTTGTTGGAACTAATTGTTCTAATTGTTGTTGGAATTAATTGGTGTTATTTGTTGGAACTAATTGTTCTAAGTGTTTGTTGGAATTAATTGGTGTATTGTTGAATAATTGTTCTAAGTGTTGTTCGGAATGTTAATTGGTGTTATTTGTTGGACACTATTAGTTCTAAGTGTTGTTGGAATTAAGTTGGTGTTATTTGGTGGGCGAACTAATTGTCTAAGTGGTGTTGGAATTAATTGGTGTTGATGTATTTGTTGGAAATAATTGTTCGAAGTGTTGTTGGAATTTAATTGGTGTTATTGTTTGGACTAAGTGTTCTAAGTTGTTGGTGGCGAATTAATTGGGTGTGATTGTTGGAAACCTAACTTGTTCTAGTGTTGTTGGAATAATGGGTGTTATTGTTGGAAACATTGTACTAGTGGTTGTTGGAATATACTGGTGTATTTGTTGGAAATAATTGTTCTAAGTGGGTGTTGGAATTAATATTGGTTGTTGGTATTGTTGGAAACTATTGTTCTAAGTGGGGTTGGAATTACTAATGGTGTTATGGTTGGAACTAATTGTTCTAGTGTTTTGGAATTAATGGTGTTATGTGTTTGGAAACTTATTGTTTCTAAGTGTGTGGAATTAATTGGTGTTATTTGTTGGGAACTAATGTTCCGTAAGTGTTGTTGGAATTTGGAATTAATTGGTGTATGTGTTGAGAACTGAATTGGTTTAAGTGTTGTGTGGAATTAATGAGTGTATTGTTGGAACTAATGTTTAAGTGTTGTTGGAATTAATTGGGTTATTTGTTGGGAAGAACTAATTGTTCTAAGTGTTGTTGGAATTAATTGGTGTTATTTGTTGGAACTAATTGTTCTAAGTGTTGTTGGAATTAATTGGTGTTATTTGTTGGAAGTAATTGTTCTAAGTGTTGTTGGAATTAATTGGTGTTATTTGTTGGAACTAATTGTTCTAAGTGTTGTTGGAATTAATTGGTGTTATTTGTTGGAACTAATTGTTCTAAGTGTTGTTGGAATTAATTGGTGTTATGTGTTGGAACTAATTGTTCTAAGTGTTGTTGGAATTAATTGGTGTTATTTGTTGGAACTAATTGTTCTAAGTGTTGTTGGAATTAATTGGTGTTATTTGTTGGAACTAATTGTTCTAAGTGTTGTTGGAATTAATTGGTGTTATTTGTTGGAACTAATTGTTCTAAGTGTTGTTGGAATTAATTGGTGTTATTTGTTGGAAGTAATTGTTCTAAGTGTTGTTGGAATTAATTGGTGTTATTTGTTGGATGTAATTGTTCTAAGTGTTGTTGGAATTAATTGGTGTTATTTGTTGGAACTAATTGTTCTAAGTGTTGTTGGAATTAATTGGTGTTATTTGTTGGAACTAATTGTTCTAAGTGTTGTTGGAATTAATTGGTGTTATTTGTTGGAACTAATTGTTCTAAGTGTTGTTGGAATTAATTGGTGTTATTTGTTGGAAGTAATTGTTCTAAGTGTTGTTGGAATTAATGGTTAATTTGTGGATGTAACTGGTTGGTTTCTAATGTGTGTGGAATTAAGTGGTTTGTGATGGTTGGAACAAGTGTTCTAAGTGTTGGTGGAATTAATGGTGTTATTGTTGCGAACTAATTGTCTTAAGTGTTAGTTGGATTAATTGGGGTATTTGTTGGAACTTTAATTGTTCAGTTGTTGGGCATGGAATTAAGTGGTGTTATTGTGGCAAACTAATGTTCTAAGTGTTGTTGGAATTAATTGGTGTTATTTGTTGGAACTAATTGTTCTAAGTGTTGTTGGAATTAATTGGTGTTATTTGTTGGAACTAATTGTTCTAATTGTTGTTGGAATTAATTGGTGTTATTTGTTGGAACTAATTGTTCTAAGTGTTGTTGGAATTAATTGGTGTTATTTGTTGGAACTAATTGTTCTAAGTGTTGTTGGAATTAATTGGTGTTATTTGTTGGAACAAATTGTTCTAATTGTTGTTGGAATTAATTGGTGTTATTTGTTGGAACTAATTGTTCTAATTGTTGTTGGAATTAATTGGTGTTATCTGTTGGAACTACCCTCTGGTTATTTAACATAGCCATGGAAAGATCCACCATTTTAAATAGGTAAACCATCTATAAATGGGCCATCTATATCATGGCTATGTTAAATAACCAGAGGGTAATCGTTCAGACAACCCAGTCGGAATGAGACTAAAGAGTCCATGCTGTGCCAGACCCTCGCCAGTGTCCAGGCCTCTGCAAGGTCATGTCACAGGATGGGGCCCCCAAGATAGCTAAGTTGCCTAAAAAAAGTGGCTTTATGGTAGATATAACGAACTAGTTAATAGGGGTTATAATGGTTTATAAACCCACAAACATCACTGGGGGGCCCTATAATTCTCATGTTTTGAGATATTTTGTGATTTGTAGCATTGAACCATCCTTTTTTGGGGAGGAAAAAAATCCTTTTTTGGGGATCACACATATTTTTGACCCAGGGGTGTTACTGAACCTGTGATTTCACTGGCAGGTTGTCCTACTGCGGTCAGGGCTACGAGGCGGCAGCGACGGAAATCGAGGTTCCACATTCGATGTTGGATATGTTGGTTTTCAGAAGGGAAAGAGTAATCACATTCATTTCATGGAGAGAAATCCACCCGGAGTCGTGTTTTTTTTTCTGTAACTGATAGTGTGTATACATGTATATAATATACACACTAATGTAGCTGTATGATCTTCACTTAGTGCAATTTGGATTACGGAATGGATCAGACAAGACGGGTGAAATCCATTGAGATTTGTAGAATTTGATTACCCTTAGAGGATTCAAGGAATACACACCCATAGGATCCATGGTGCTGGTATATATGCTAACATGACTGGGGTATATTGATGGGATCCATGTTACCATATATATAGCATACGTATGAATCCGTCATGGGATAGGAATATGGATCTACTCATGAAATCCAACAGGAGAAACCACTGAAAATCAATATTAATTATTGATATTTATTGACATTCAACCTTCCCCAGCCAATATGGAGGTTTCCTCAAAAAAGGGCTAGCCCCAAATCATCCGAACAAATCATCCATGCTACGGCTGCTTGAGGCTTGACCAAACCAGGCCAGTGGCCCTAAACGAATGCCAATATCAACTATAGGTAACTAATATTGTTATTGTATAATCCATAATCCTATCAATCTAGTATACACACTGTGTATTACAAATAACAATTAAGATATAGAATGTCCCATAACTAGATTAAATGTTCATAGGATATCATAGGATTGGTATAAATACATATTGTATATATATATAATCCATAACTACTTCTAGATCTAGTCCATCAGTACAAGATGTACAATCCCTATTATCATGTAATAACCCATCAATAATTTATAGTTACTATAATATAGTCCACATATATATATAGTAATAATAACTTTTATAATCCATTGATATTCACTATAATTATATCATAATTCTAGATTATAAATACAAATGACTATAGACTAAAACTATTAACTATAGATAATAATGATAATCAAAGGATAGATAATAACTATGTTAATTATATATCAATAGTTGGAAAAAATAGTACCGTTTATGAACTATTGTTATAAGTATGTGTTTGTATATAATTTTATATATATATAATAGCTATAATTAATTGTAATTAACTATAGTTATAAATATAATATATATATATATAAGTATAATTGTATCTATATATAAATAGCTATATAATAACTGTAGACGATAGTCTCGTCCAGGCCACCGCTCGTCGGAGATCTGCGGCAGAGTTCATCCGGCGCCGGGCACAACACGCGCGGCACGGGACCCACGGGGACCGCGGGAACTCGGGATGTGGGGATTTAATGGGGAAATCATGGAATTGAATGGGGATTTAATGGAATTGAATGATGATTTTACTGGAATTGAATGGGCTTGAATTGGGGAAAATCATGCTCAAGAATAGTGAATGGTATATAGGATGTACCCTCTGGTAATCAAACGTGGCTGGAAAATCACCGATAAAAGTGCGGTTGACAGCTGATCCTCTCCAGGGCTCATGCCTCATGCGATGGGTTTAATATCCTTTGTTAGCTCTGCCTGGCTACACGTATCCACCGGTGTCTCAGAACATTGTCTGTGACAATGTGGTGAGTACAATCCTGGTTTTTACCATTTGGCTTGGGGCTGCCCCTGTCACACTCACCATCTCGAACCCCCTGAAAACATTCTTCTCGCTCGATTTGGTCAACAGTATTTCCAAAAATATTACCAAGAGAAAACGAAACAACCGTGTGTATGCGATATATGCGGCTGTGCCATGAGCTGTAAATCAAACTTGGCAAAGCATAAGAAAACGAAGAAGTGCCGGAGGTTCTTGGTTTGAGTTCACTATGATTTTATGATACAAGAACATATCATAAAATTATAATCTTAGTATTTTTAATGACAAGATTGGAAAAAGAAAAAGTATTGGAAAAAATATATTACGACGTGGAGGACGGCTTCGGTTCGGTGAGGGACTTATACGAAAAGGCTAGGAAAGTCGATGTAGGCATAACTTTGGATATGGTATCTACATGGATGAGGGCGCAACCGAACAAGCAAACAAGAAACTACAAGAACTACAATTCCTACGCTGCTCCGTTTCCCAAGTATGAATTCCAAATTGACTTGATGGATGTCACCAGTTTGCTGCGAGACGTAGGTTCTGAAATCAAAAGTCAACTAAGATATGGTTTAGTTTGCATAGATATATTCAGTAAAAAATGTCACATAGTCCATATCGAGAATAAAGATGGTGATGATGTTTATAAATGTTTATAAAGCAGTCGTGGAGTGTTTCAAGGTATTAGGTCAGCCTTTGTCGATTTACAGCGACGACGAAGGAGCGTTGAACAGCAAGAAGCTGCAAACATTTTTTAAGCAGGAAGGTATAACACACGTAATAACAAAGACGCATGCAAATCAGGCAGAAAGGATGATACGCACGGTCAAAAAAATGATTGGGGACAGATTGAGGCATTACAAAACCAAAACATGGGTGGAAGTGCTAAAGCCCTCGTTGAATAGATACAACAACCAAATCCACAGTAGCACCAAGACAACACCTAATAATGCGCACAATCTTGATAACGTAATTCAGGTCAGAACAAATCTGATACTGAAAGAAAAGCACAACAGAAAATATCCAAACATAAGTGAAGGAGATTATGTTAGGATATTTGATAAAGCAAAGGGCAACTATGTATCAAGGAAAGACACTAGAAGTCAATGGAGTGAAAGAAAGTATGAAGTAATACTAGTTAGTCGTGATATGATGAATAATAGATACTATAAACTAGATGGAATGAGTAAAAGGTATAATAGGCATGAATTGCTTTTGATTGATTAGTAACTGTTTTTCTTTCTTCTGTTTTCGCCTTTCTCTTCTTTTTGCATTTATGTTTTCTTTGTCTTTTTTGTATCTTTCTTTTGTTGTTGTCTTGTTTCTTTTGAGTTCTTCTCGCAATATTTCTCCTTATTTTTGTAGTGTTTCGTCTTTTTTTCTTGTATTTTATGTTTATTGTTCTCATGATGCTGTTTGTTTTTTCTTTGTATTTTTCAGTATTCTCTATTTTAATATTTTTTACTGTTAGAGGTGATGCTCTCTTGTGGCATCGTAATATTCCATTCAAGTCCCACCAACAATACATCTGTTAAGACGGCTCTTATCATTTTCAATATATTCACCTTCTTTCTTCTCGAGTTGCTTTCTGTTTTGGTATGGGCATTCTTCAATAAGAAACATTTTACAGTTTTCAACACCGAACTCATCAAACGATTTCATAGATTTAGGATGGTGTTTTAGGGGATTTATGCGGTTTATATAGATAAGATTTGTAATATCTTCTATGTTTTGCCGTTCTTTGACTTAGTTTTTCAGTTGTTGAATTTATATCCATAATATATCTTAAATCATCTTTTCGTTGTGTAGATATTTTATGGCATAATGTCCAAACGGGAGACTTTCAAAATCTGAATACCAGTAGCGTTTATTGTCGTAGTTGCTTAAAGCATATTTAGTTTGATTAATGCTATAGATTTGATGGTTCTTACTTCTGATAGTGTTAAAACTGACTTCTTCTTTACAGTTTCTATTCAATGTCTCTTCATAAGTTTTGTAACTTAACTGATTGCTCACTTCATGCTTGACTACTCCTTTACTTTTCTTGTGTTCTTTCTCATCACCATGTACTTTATAGCAATATGCCTTTGGTTTCAATCCTATAAAGTGAGTAATTATTTTACCGTTCATTTCATCCTTGAACTTGCCTAATACCTTCTTATTTATTTTATCATAGTTTAGATGCTCTGGTGGATAATCACTAAAATCCATGTATTCATTAATCTCCTTAAAGTCTTCATATAAGTCATCAGTCTCAATTTCTATTACACAACTATCAGTATCAGTATATATTAACTTAATTTTATTACCATATTTTGGTTTCAAAACATCATAGTAAAACGAATACATGTGAATTTTAGAATAATCTAAAATAGACATACCCATATAAATAGGTTTGTTTAGTTCCACTGTGTGTTTATCTTTCTCAACAATTACAAAGTCTTCATTTATAATATGCCTGTGTTTGAATAGTGGTTTATTTACCAGTTTTTGGAAGCGTTCAGGTGTATTAACTATCTCATAATCGCCATGCTTTCTTACATTTTCCATGGTCTTGCCATATACGCTGTTATTCATTAACTTAAACAAATATTTTTCAAAATCATGTTTGGCATTCTTTCTCTTTTCGGTGTTGAATTCAATGAATGCTTTTAAGAAGTTTGCTTGTTTAAGATTTATTGCTCTATGGACTTTTCTAAGACTTAATCCTTGTTGTAAATAAAACTTCAATGCTGATATATGTAAAACATATTTCTTTTTATTCATTACATTCAAAACTAATCTATTTGTTTTTTCATCACTGGCATCTTTTCCATAATAGTATTTGTGTATATCCTTTTGGACTTGTGAAAGCATAATCTCATTGATACATATGATTTCAGGTGCTAATGGATAGTCTTTATGTAAATCATGTAGTTCTTTTGGATAATCTAAATCAACTTCTAATATGTATCCTATGTCATCATCATCACCAAATTTTATTACTCTCTTTTCATCCATTCTACCATAATACCATTTAAAATCACCATATGGCAGTTTCTTACACATTGCTAATCCGTAAAGGTTATTAGCATCTAAATAACTTATGTATGATGAAGGTTTAGATTTATCATAATCTTCATTCATGTATTTATTGTTTGCTTCTACTTTCTTGAAGGAGCACTGTGTCATTCCTCCTCTTAATCCATGTTCAATCATCTCATACATTTCTTTTATGTGTATTTGTTGTAGTCTAACTCCTGTCAATGATAAAAAGGCATTCCAAGAATAGTTGGGTAAAGTGATATAATATGCTGGGTCTAATCCATAATAGTTCAAACACATATCCCTAAAAAATTCAAAAACATCAGTTAGTAAATATACATCAGTCATCACATATAAATCATGATATTCGCCAAGGTTTTTAATGTTAAAATGTGTCCATACAATATTGCTCTGGCGTAGTCTTTGTCAGTTATGTTTTCTTCATATAATTTGCTGTAAAAAAATCTTTCTTTGGTAGTTTTATTTCATCGAACTTCTCCCATGAGTTCATGTAGTCATAGGGATAGACACCCTTATCAGTCAGCAAATTCAAATCAGTTTTAGATTTGATATATGGGTTGGTGCTTGTATATCTGAAACGAGTTTCCCAATCTTTAATCTTTTGATTTCCTTCATATTTGTTTAATCTAACTAACTTATCTAATGAAGCAGTTAAGAAAGCGAAACTGTCTTTAAACTGACAAGCACCAAATGAAAAGGTTATGAACTTTTCACTGTTTTGTGCTATTACATCTATTTTTTTGTTTTGGTTTAGTTTTATGTTTAGTTCATTTGCTCTGGCAATGATTAAGTGAGCGTCATAGTTTTTGAGATTATGAAAGAAAATAGGGATTTTAAAATATCTAAATTAATAATCCAGATTACATTTTACATGCGCTGCGCCTCTGTATTTGCCTGTGAAGTGGCAGTGGTCGCGGACTTTCTCATCATCAGTTTCAAATTTCTTACCGCAGATGGAACAATGAGACGATAATTTAAACTCTAATTTTTGTTCGTTTGTTAATTCATCCATTGGTTTATTAACATTCATTTTTTCAAAAATATCTTTCTTAATTTCGGTCAGTTGATCAGTATTAGAGTTAGTGGTTAGACATTCAAAATCACCATAGATTACAAAAGGACAAGGCAATTTAGTATTATGCTTTTCAAATTCTATATACGTGTCTTTATTTGGCATCTTTGTTTGTTGTCCTTCTGATGCCATACATCCTTTTTCAAGATGGTTCTTATATGCCTTTTCTGATTGAAATGGATTTAAGCAATGGTGGCAGTAAACTTTTTATTAGTGTTGCTACTGGTCTGACGGTTTAATAATCTACATTTGTTTTTTACTAATACATAATGATAGTGATTATCTTCATCATAGACTTTTAACAAAGCTATTTCACATTTAGCATTTCTGTTTTCAGTGCCTCTATGTAATATAATATTATTATCATTTAAGCAGTCATCGGGTCAAACACATTTATTGAAACTGATTTATTGTTCTCTTCAAATCTGTCAATGTCCCTATTGCCACTTGGAAAATTTACACCATCCCAGTTCAAAATATAATCTTTCAGTTTATAAAAGTGGAACATTTCCTCTGGGTGATGTTTGCTTATTTTGTCATAGACTACGGATTGAATACAATATTTGAAGCATTTTTGGTCTTTATTTTTAATGTTGATACATGCCTTTTTTAACTTAATCCATTCTGGTAATTCTATGTATCTCCCTGCTCTTGTTGGGTCATATCTGTCATAGTGAATAGTTATTGACAAAATCTTTTTGAAGCGTAAATTTGATGCTGATGCTTCTAAATTTTGTATTTGTAATAAGATTTGTTTAACACTGTCTTCTAATGCGTGTGTTAGTTCATCTTCATTACTGATATTAAAGCGAGTTGATGGTAAAGCATATACAAGTTCCTGACTTCCAATTTCATTTCCTCCATCATCATATTCAGGTTTTTCAAATAGTGCTTCTGTTCTTATGTTAAGTTTCATGCTTCTATTCTTTCTTAAAAACTCTAATAGTCTTTGCTTTTGGTGCGCAATCATTTCTAAACCTCTTTCTCCTTCAAAGTGTTTATTTTCTAAAACTATTGAATTAGCGTATCTTGTAAATGCTGATTGAATATCTCTGACCCTAAACTTGTTTTTTATTGCGTGTTTGGTTAATAATTGTCTTACTCTTCCTTCATTGAAAGCACCCTTTGCCTTGTTTAAAGCATAACGTCTGTATTCATTAGTTTTCTTTACTGATTATAGTTTTTTCGTTAAAACATTTGATATGGGTTTGTCTTTGTTGTATCTAAATTTCTTGTTGTCTATTACTATTGATTTCAATTCTTTTCTTCCTCTTTTTGGTATTTCTGCTAAATCATTACTTAATAAATAGTCTATAACTTGTTTCATCATATAATAGTACATATTTTATTTAGTTGATTTATCTTTAAGTAGTTTTGAGAAGAATGATATATTTTAATCTGAGAAAATATACTTAAAGAATAGTTATTTAAGTATATTAGTAGGATGGATTGCGTGAAGGATTTACCCGTTGATGTGCTGAGTAAAATTGTTTCTTATAAAATTGGAGACCCTAAATATTTGAAAATTAAGTATAATCATATTGAGGCATTAAGGAGAATACAAAACAAATATAAGATTTCAAGACTTGGTCCTAAAATAACAAGACATTTGAAATCAAGAAAAAAAATCTATATAATTGAATACTGTATTATGAGAGAGGGAGTGCCATTTAGTTTAAAAAGTTTAGAAGACATAATAACAGAAGAACAAGAAGAATTACTCTCTTTGACTTATGAAGAAGTAGAAGATGATTTAAATTATAGAGTTAAACTTGACATTGAAGTTCAATCAGTGGCAAAACTCCCAGAAAAGGAATATGGAGAAAATGAATTTAGTTATAGAGAGATTTATTTTATGAATGACTTTGATGAATATGTAGATGAAGATAATATAGACTAGATAAAGCAGTTGAAGAAATAAAAACCGACATAGAAGAAGACCGAGATAAAGATAGTATAATAGGAATACAGGCATTTCATTTTAAATTAGTAATTAGTGAAGACATTTACTACTAACATATTTCTAATAATATTTGTTTTATTAGAATTATGGACTTGTAAGATGGGATTTTTAAAGACTAAGGAGTAATATATATTGTTGTTCTTTGTTTTGCTTTATATATTGTTCTATGCTGGGTTTGTTTTTTGTTTTTGTTTGGTTGTTTTGTTTTGGGTATGGAATGGATGAGGTGATGATGTGATTTTCTATGAATAAAAAATATTCAATAAAAAGTCTGAACACATATTTAAGAACATGATTGTTTTAAGATATATGGATGATAAAACTTGTAAAACTTGTGAAAGAACTATGGACTTTGAAAAAAATGATGAAGGGTTAAAAACTTGTAAAATGTGCTTATCAGATAAAAGAACTAGTTATCATAAACATAAACATAAACGAAATGAGGTTCAAAGAAAAAGATATGAGGAAGATGAGGAATATAGAAAAACGAAGCAGGACTACAATAAAACATTTCAATCTAAAATTGTTAGTTGTTCTGTTTGTAATTGTTCAATGACCCAAGCAGATTACTATAAGCATAAGAAAACCGAGAAGCATCAAAGAAACTTAAATAATGGTCAGTAGTTAGGTTTTATTAAAAATGAATGAGGTAATTATGTATTGACTGTTATGATTTTTCAAAAATGAAAGAGGTAATATATGGTTAGTAGTGATGAATTTTGAAAATGAAAGAGGTAATATGTGGTTAGTAGTGATGATTTTGAAAAAAATGAAAGAGGTAATTATGTTTTGATATTGTTGAGAAAAATGAAGCAAGCAACAATATTTAAACTGACTTTTTAGACTGCTATGTTTTTTTTAATGAATATTTTTTGAGTTGTTATACTGCTATGATATTAGTTTTGAAAACTTCTTACAATCAATCTTTTATATATTTTTTTCCCCTCGGGGGGCCTGAAAGACTGCGGTGGCGATGGCGCTTCTTGCAGCTCATGAAAGAGTTCTCTTCTTCTATCATCGAAATAAATTGGGTATTTTCCAGCATGCCACGTTTGACACCGGAGGGTAACTGGTTGGGGATGATCCAAAATGTGTGGTCCCATAGACCTCCAGGTTTTTTTGTCATTGGCCACACCCACCCGCCAGACAAGAATTTGGTCCTTGGCCTAATTGCTTGTCAAGGCCAGGACCTCCCTCGAGCCCTGCAGGTCACGGAGCTCTCTGGGCATGGCATCCCCGGTGAAGACAAGAATATGTCTTGAGAAGTTCTCCAAATCATCTAGCAGGTATCAATGATATGAGGACTTGTGCCGGACAACGTCGGTCAGCAGCGTTTTGGAACAATGAAATTGCACAAAATCAGGAATGAGACAGCAGCACAAGGCACGCAAGGAATATTCAGGGGATCTCAAAATAGAGGTGTGACCCTTCAAGATGTGTTTCTAGTGTTGCAAGGCCGACAAACAAGATATACATGTAAATATATGTATATATGTACTATGATTACATGTGCGCCCCTAGATTTAACAGGGAAAACTGAAACATAGGGACCCACTCTGTTTTACACGCGCACACACATATAAAATCATATAATTTATAAAATATAATATAATATAATACAAATATAATATAATATGAAATAAAATATTATAATGTAATATGTCATATAATATAATATAATATTATATTTTTATATATAATAGCAAATAATTTAATATAAGATAATACAATTTAGTACAATATAATATCATATAATATAATAACATATAATATAATATAATATAATATCTTATAATATCATATAATATCAAATAATATCCTATAATATAACATAGTATAATATACTATAATATCATATCATATCATAGTTTTGATATAATATAGTGTAATATAAATTAACATAATACAATATAATTTAATATCATATAATATCATATAATATCATTTAATATAATATAATTTATAAGTTAATAATATAATATATTATAATATAATATAATATCATATCATATATTCCAATACAGTATGATATATAATATTATATTATATTATATCATATTATATCATATAATATAATTTAATACAATATAATATAATATTGTTATATCCCAATGGTTGGTTAAGTATGGTTAAATTATATCCCATATTTAAAATTTAGATATATCCAACCATATGGTATATCATATAATATCATTTAATATCATATATTTAATAACTTAATATAATGTAATATAATATAACAGAATAAAGTTTAATATAATACAATATCATATAATATAATATGCTATAATTTAACATAATATAATATCATATAATATCATATCATATCATATAATATCATTTAATATAATATAAATTATAATATAATATATTTTAATTTAAAAAAATATCATATAATTTCATATAATATCATTTAATATCCTATAATATAATATTGTATAATATAATTTAACATAATATAATATAATATCATATCATATCACATCATTTAATATAATATAACATATAATTTAATATATAATATAATATAATTTAATATAATATAAGATAATATAATATAAGAATATATATATATATATTTAAAGCATCGACAATATGGCCCTAACTGAGTTTCATGCTGAGTGAAGGGACGTACACTGTGAGTGAAATGTGCCAGGTGAATGCAGTGAGCAGCACGTGGCCACCTTGGATTCGGCAATTGAGTCCTTGGACCAGACCATTTGGGGCTATAACCAGGACGCAGCCGCAAATCTCAATGAGATTTTGTGGAGTTTCTCCTGAAAGGCTGGTGATCCCTAAAAGTGGATGAAATGGATTGAAACCAATCAGCAGAAACCACTACAATAGCAGCCACAGAGGTCCCTGCCAGTGGCTGGAGGGGATCCAGCTTACCACAGATGTACCAGGGGGTTGATGATTTTGGGAAAACCAAAATTTCAGGTCCCCAAAATAGAGGCACACATATATCAACAGATTTTGTGGAGATATTCCCTCACATAGCCCTTGCATAGGCCTAAAGAAAATGGTAGGTACCCCCAATTTAGGTTCTTGAAATGGCCATGTCAGGAGGGCTATACCCTGGCCTGCCCGCAGATGGTTGGATCCTCAAGCTGGGATTGAAGGTTCCTAAAAGCCCTACGTCGAACGTGACAAGAGATGTGATTCAGTGATATTCAATGTAGCTTCTGTTCCTAGACTTCAAGACATAGATTTTCTAAAATGAAGTGTTTTGAATATCTTCGAATTATATACATTCCAACACTTAGAGTATTTCATTAGAAATTAGGTTCATCATTTTTTTTTTGCCGCCACGCTCCCAGGTGGGTTTCCGATCCTTGCGGAGGACGGCCTGGTCGGGTCACAACTTTCATGGTTTTCCCAAAGTGCCTACCCAAGAGGGATAGACAATGATACTGGTCTGAGAGGCCTGTGTTTATTTTTGCCAACCTATATATATATATATGAAATTTTATATAGTATGTATATAGGGGGGGTGGTGGGGTAGAAACACAGAACATGAGACCATATATATGTATGTATATATATATATGTATATGATATGTTTCAAATGAAATTTTCCACGGTTTTCCGAAGTCCTCAAGGTGTGAGGTTGGCGTTCCCAACAGCTAAGAAGTTGCATTGTGAAGCTGACGTAAAACTAAGCCACTGGGATGGCCCTGGCCCGGCCATGATGGCAGGATGGATCTACCCTACGAACACTGGTGGGCAGCGATTCTCAGATCATTTCAGTAACGTTGAAGACGTTGAAGCGAGCCACTATGTAGACATGTTTGTAGCGACATGTTCACTTTCTTTGTATATGATGTGTATATCATTGTTTATCTAGCATAAATAAAACACACATATATATATAATTATATATATATATACAAATGTTTATACACAATGTGGTATAATAATTAATATACATATAATACATATACTATATATACACATAAGATAGAGGTGATTATGTCAGATCTCTGCATGTCAACTGATTTCAGGTTCGCTTGGATGGGCCAGCCATCCGCCGGCCCCTCTGCGCCTTGGCCATGTGCACCTGACGGCAGGATGCGGCGCCCGGCGCCGCGGAACGTTGGAGTGACCCAAAAATTGGATGGCAACATGGGAAAACCCCTGGGAAAACCCATGGGAAAAACGATACTTTCCGATCTTTTCTTGGGATATCCATGATAGATATCCTCGGGATTTCTGATAGGATCTGATAGAATCTGATAGGATCGTAACAATATATAACAATATATAACTATATAACACTATGATAAAATGTATGGGAACATGTATGGGAGGATATGGGACGTATGCACAGGATAGAACCTTGTAATAGATTTAAATGTATACATGTTGATATGTGAAGGATCCTTTCAGATCAGGATACTCTTCAGGTCAAGTGTTTTGAACACACACACACACACACCACACCAGCTGCTCTCACATGGCACGCCTCTGGCACTCGGGTATAGTCACACCCTGCAGAAAACGCGGGGTGGACTGCTTGAGGGCAGCAATCTGCAGATTGCTGGTGAAAGGGTCAACACTCCAAAATGTGGCAACTTTTTTAACTTCTGGGTGCACCTGTCAGCCAGATGTGCCAAATGGAATGTTAGGAAAATACAGCGGAATACTGCGTACTGCGTACAAGACTTATCCAGCTTAAGCAAGCAATCAAGACTATGTTTGTGACTGGAATACGAAGCCAGCAGCAAGTGAAGACCCCTTGCATTTACTTCTGCGTATTTCTACGTATTTAATGGGTTTGTACTGGCTTTGATTCTTGGAGACTTTACCAGGTACATTCCTCGTTCCTGCTTCAAGTGCTTCAGTTCAAGAGCCAAGCGTGAGCAGCTAAATGGATATTATACTGACTTCACGCCAAGTCATCCTCAAGCTCTAAGCAACGCTTTCTCCCATAGACGGAGCATGCTTTGTATTGTTTCCACAATGCCTCCAAAGAGTGCTTTGTGTCCTAGTGAAGTGGTGACCGGCACAGCAGTCTGGCGCATTTGTTCAAGGATGTTGCTGCGGTTGTTCTTTGTGCAACATACGGCATATGGGTTGGCCCAAAATTGGGCACCTCCAATGTGATGGTTGATCATTATTGTTTCCATTGAAATTGCAATTTGAAAATCAAAGTTTTCAGCTGGTGTGAGCTGTCCAGTCCCACATCACGCAAAAACAGGTACATGTACATAGGAGCAGAAGCATCCAAGTTCATCTTTCTCTTGCGGATTGCAACACAATCAGATCACCCTGCCCCAAACAATCCATCTCACAGACACCTTGTTTTTGCATATCCACACGCTCAGCAATCATCAATTCCCTCATAAGATTGCAAGGGAAAGACTGATGCTTTGCTGAATTCAGACCTGTCGTGAGACGAAAATAGTTCATTGGAAGAGAAGTGGCTTGGCTCAAAATTTTGAACCCAAATTGGTCTATCGTAATTTTCTCTGTCAAAGTTGCCATGTCCCCATTTTCGCGGAGCATCATCCAAGTGTCAGGACAGGCCCAAGGCTCTTGGACTTGGACGACTTTCAGAATGAACCGGTCCAGCCCAAATGTGCTGAAAACGCTGACCTCAGAGTGGTAGTGCAAGTGAAGCTCTAAACTTGAAACAAGTTGCTCATAAATGCATACAGACAGTCCCAAATGCAATTTATACCTTTGTTTCCCTGATTCGATTCATCGGCTGAATCCCATGGTTCCCAGTGCAGCTGAGCTACATTGCTATAGCATCAGTTGATTTCCCACTACATCCAAGTTCCAATGGCTGCTACAACATGAAAAAACATTAGAAGCATATTATCCATTATCATCCATCATGTCTACGTATTAAAATTAATTAACATTATATAAATTTTATATAATCATAGTTCAATGACCCACTTATCAACAGAATCTCATTCAATCTCATTCAACAGTCCTTAACTGACATGGCATCCCAAAGAAAAAACACGAACGCTGCCACGGCCGTCGCCCTGGCCCAGCGCCATGGCTGAGTTGGAGACGGTCTTGACCCGGCGCCGTGAGGAAGTCGAGGCCAAAGGTGCCTCCTACACCAAGGCCACGATGGGGTCAGTCTGGGACCGGCTCCAAAAGAAAAAACTGAAGTTGCTCCCAACAAAAGTATCCTCCTTGAAATTTCCACTACGAAAAGGTAGGGCATATCCCCAGTACAAGGCTTGTTCTGTATACCTAAATGTGCCTAGTCCCCGAGGGTATTGCCATAACTTTTTGTATCCAGTTCATTTTTGATAGTTGGCCTAGGTTGGGAAATTGTTTTTGTAGAGCTTTCAGCTCTATGTTTTCAGAGGCTTATCTTGGGATACCAGACCCCGGCTTAACCAAATTGTAGCAAGGTTGGTTCTGTTTTTGTAGGCTTCCATTTTGTACCTACCAAGTATGTGCATGCATAAAGCTGCATGGAGTGGATGTGCAGACTTTTTTTGGTAACAGCCTGCCATGACTCACGCTACCTTGTCAAATTCTTGCACCTCGCCCTTTCTAGATTCTAGGTAGCTTGGCTGCCCACACTGTTCCTTGCAAGATAATATATATATATATATTTATTTATTTATATATTTATATATTATTTTTATTATTTATTATATATATATTATATCATATATATATTATATATTATATATTATATATTTTATATTTTATATATTATGTATATATATATATTATATTATATAGTTTTTACATATTATATATATATATATATGTGATTATATGTATATATTACAATCCCTTCAAAAAAGGCAAGTCTCATGACTATGTCCATACCGTGATAGGGTGTTTCTCAATTTTGAATTGCGTGTGTTTCTCTATTTTGCATTCATGTTTTGAGCTGCTCCTTCTTCAGCAGACTCATTGAAAAGGATCGTTGCATGACAGTTTGGCTTACCAATGCGAAATAAAAAATCCGGCCCTTCCCAATTTGTAGCGGAGAGATTACGCGTGTGTTTGTTTTTCGATGTCTTTCGCTGCCCTTTTGTTTCACATTACATGTTCAAACACCTTGAAAGCGGCCGTTGGTTTCATGACTATTTCCTGTATTTTTTGGCTTGCTACATGATTTTGTGTTCTTGCTTTTGGGCTGCTGCCCTTTCGACTACGAAGCATCCTCAACAATGCTAGTTAAGAATGGTGGTGCGTGACCAGAAAACCTTGACATGCAACGTAAAAATCGCTTTTTGTAGTGTCTGGATGCTGCCCTTCCCAATTTGTAGCGGGGAGATTGCGCGTCTTTCTTTTTGCAGGCTCCTCGCTCATACCTGCGAAACAAACCATCTTGTTCCTGCGTTGATTGTTCTTTTGGTGAGCAACTGAAGAAGCAGTTTACCTGTGTCATGCTTCCATCCTGGTCATGTACTAGCACCCGGCATCAAAATCATGTGTTGCATTGCACACTTTTATCAAGCCATAAGGCAGGTTCCATCACACTGTGCCCTGTTCCCCATGTCTCCTAAGTTGCCTGTTTCCACGTCCCCAAGTGAAACCCTAAAGGTATGGAGTTCAAACAGAGAGGCAGAAGAGGATGCTGGCCCCCAGGTCCCCCCAACTAACCCGCCCAAGTCAACTTTGCGAGGAAAGTAGATCCAATATGATCTATAATTAGTTTAGACTAAGAACAACTCGCCTCAAACCAGTCTGGAAGGATCATTCCAGAGACTTCCAGCGGCCATAGCTACAAAAGGCAAAATATGCAAAGATTTGCCAAGAGTTCTTGTGTTTTCCTGGTTGGGACTCCTATGTCAAGATAGGCTACAAAAAGACCCTTTGGAACAGACGTCATGCCCAGGGAGCGCTAGAAAAAGAAACGACTTCGGCAGCAACACTGGGCAGCTACAAAAAGCACTTCTGGATTCGCAGATCCTTCTTTTGGTGGTTTTTGAAGCCATTTGGTCTGTGCCTGACCTTTTTGTATCTTAAACAAATTGGTTTTTGTAGTGAAAAAAAAAATAGTGGATTTTGTTTTCTGTATTGTTGGGGGGTTGTACCCAGCCAGAAGGTACCTACATCAAGGGAGGTAACCCTCACCCCCCAAATTTCAACGGGGATACAAAAGTCATCAATTATGTATAAATATATATGTTATTGATTAATTATGCTTTATTTAACGATTCATCATCCAAGAATGAGGCTGTAAGACCAAGCATTGGATTGGGATATCAATGGATTTACTCGGATACAATGGGATAGATATAACCAACAACTTGATAATATAATTATATTTATATGCATGTTTATTTATGTCTATATTTATATATTTATATCATCCCAAAATGGCTTGAGAAAGATGATACGCTAAACAACGGGTAAGGAGAAGTTTTCGTGACATCCCTCAGCCTCTCAGGATCGCTTTGGCCGCGCCGATGCAGTTTGGTACGAGCGTACGGAAGGGCAATTTAGCCCCAGGCACTCAGACCGACCCGTTTCTCGCCTGGCCAGCAACTCACCCTTTGGCTTGAGCCGAGAACCCTCCGAGCCGCCACCCGAAATGCCACCACGTCCCAACCTGGTGCGGAGAAGATCCACCGATGCCACGCTCCAGCGGGCTGGAATGGAACCCGATCGCGTACGACGGAGCTTCCCACGACGCACGTCGACGGGAACAGATACTCGGCTTGACGACTACAGAGGGTTCTTATATGGGGATGGGTCAAAACCTATTATTACCATATTTGGAAGAATCAACATCCATTAACCAGCTATTTTAGGTACCATCCGGGTGCCAGGGTTTTGACTCGCAACCATATGTTCTTATTGTTTTTAAATGTTTTTATTTCGATTGACGGAACTGTCATTGTCTCCTAGTCAATATTCTTGTAAAGCCTAGCGGCCTAGCGTCTATGATCAATCGATTTATGCATATACGATTGAAGACGGACAGAAAATGATGGACATGCGTTTCACAGCAATTGGGGAGCAGAGAAGTTTGGATTTAGGGTTGGGTAAAAATCATCGGAACTTCAACTTCAAGATGGATTGTTGAATATGCTTCGACAATCAAACTTCTTTGATACTCATTAAAAACGATTGGAATTTGCCCCAATAGTCTTTGATGATACATGCTTTACTAGTCAGAAAGATCATCCTTTGGTGAGTGGCTCCATTGCTACCCCAATATCTTCACCAAGGCTTTGAAGGCTCCCGTCCGTCCCATGAATTCGCGCAATGCATCACCCGCCCGGTCCCTCACTCCTTTGTCCAGAGCCGCATCAAGTGACAAGGCACCTTTGTGAAGGGTTCAATTTTTCAGTATTCGGAGGTGCAGTTCCGGTTATAGCTGGGATATACCCTCGGGCAATCTACCCTCTGGTAAACGTTTACATAACTATGGAAAGATCCACCATTTTTAATGGGAAAATCCACTATTTCTATGGCCATTTTCAATAGCTACGTTAAATTACCAGAGGGTAACATGTAACATGCTTTGCTGGAAAATCCCCGAACGAAATGCTGGTAGGGAAAGGCATCCAACTAAATTTAGTGGATTTTCCAGCAAGCCACGTTTGATTTTTTCGGAGGGTATATACTTTATAATCATGGGTTATAGGTAAGTTATAGGGGCCTACATATCCCAATAATTTAATCCAATTTATACATCTTATCATCATGATTATACCGTTATTACCATGTTATACCCATGAAAATAGCCCAGTCGGCACCTGCAAGTATGCTCTATGTGGAGTTGCTTGAACATGTTTGAACATTTGGACCCCCAAACCTCTCATGTGTAGTCATCATATGAGTAATCGATAAGATCCAATAGGGGACGACCCTATACCGATACCTGTGTTTTACATGAGTGGCCTCAAAGTCCGAGAACGCAGAATCCTCACAACCGATAGGGAACGACCCTCATTTGTGCATGGCATGAACATGAACAAGTAATTTTGTCCGCTATTCATATGTTGCATTAAACTTGTTATGCTCAATCATTTTATCGATAATTATCCACCATTTTGCACTACTACAAATACAGGGCATGTTTGGGGTAGATGTTGGTAGATGTTTGGCATATTGGAGCACCAGCAGGATCATTTGGGAGTGATGGAAGATGGCCAAAGGGGGCTGTTTTTCAAGGCATTGTGTACATTGACGCATGCAAAAAGGATGGTTCAGTACCAGAAATAATAATTAATCAAACTCTGTGGGTCCCTGAATCTTCAAGCTTCATAAGGAAAGCACAAGGGGAATCTTTTTTTTGCATTTAATTATGTGAACATATGGACTTGCAAGTCAACTTCACACACAACTTGGCATGTCGTGGTGAGCATTCCAATTGAGCACTATGGAATAGGAATCCATAACTTTGCTAACATATCTTCAAGCTCCACTTGTTTAGGTCTTGTCCAATTCCCACAAAACTGTGTGTTCTATGAGTTCTATGTCTTCTTTTCTTTTCTTCAGGTCTGGGGAGATGCTGATCTCAGATAATTCCTACAGGTCCATTACGTGTAGTTTCCTGCTGCGCAGGGGTCAGCCGCAGAGGCACAACCTAACCAGGCGCCTCAGGACATGGGATGCTTTAAGGGGCTGCATGTGGGGTACCCGAAAACCAGGACTGGTTCCCCTTAAAACAATGACCCATTTTGGATGAAGGTCTCCCATGCTATGTTTTTTTTTGGGAAGCTACCAATTGTTGCATACGTTTATCTCAAAATAGGATACCCATGGATACCCATGGATACCCCCAAAATGGCCGAACACATTTGCACTCTAAATAAACGCTGACAAACAGCGCCGTTTTTTTTAAATGGTGGTCGGACTTTGTTGGATACATGCCCAAAAGCGCAGGTGAAAAAGCGAACTGGTCAACTAATCAGACATGCCAGGCTTGATTACCCAAGGGTAATTTCCATCAAATCCCGTTAAATTCCATTATGCAGCAGTGTTCAAAACGCCGGTTCGTTGGTGATTATAGGCATTATACTAGCCAATATATTGGGGGATATCACAATTCATTAGGAGAATCCCTATCAACCAAGCAGTATGAAGGGACGACACAGGGTTTTGAACACTGGTTATTAACTTTCATCAATTTCATTAATTATATACAATATTATATATATATATACAGTACACTCAATATAGATCCCATTAAATGCCATTGAAGGTCAGCATCCTGGCACCTTTGGTGAGCTCAGGAGGCGGAGGCTGCTTCCAAACGGGCGGAGAGCAGTTCCTCAGTGGGCTTCTCCCAGAAAAAGGTCAATCCATGGATATTTCGCCGCTGAAAGTTGGGTCTGAAACCATGGTAGGATTGGAAGGGTCAAATTTTTAGGCCCGTGGTCCCGCAGATTCTGTTGACAAGCTACACCATCCTCCATAAAATCTTGGGCTACTGTAACTTACTGTATCTGATCTTGACCTATAGCCACTTCAAGAATTCATACCTATGCCCGTTTGGGTATGCATGAACATGATTGAAACACATTTTGGGATGCTTATGGATGGTCAAACTTCTGTGGTCCAAGCATTACCGTAACCATCCAGAACTTTCAGCCATATCAACAGCATTTGAGCAGTGTTCAAAACTCCGGTTGGTTGATGATTATAGGGGTTTATACTAGTCATATTGTGGATGGAAGAAATCCTGCACCACCTTGACTTGGATGGTTGAAACCCTATAAATAATGGGGTGTTTACCATCTACCAACTGGTGCAGGATCTCTTCCATCCACAGTCTCTACTTGGGAGTAGCACAGTCCATTGGGGGAATCTGGGGAATCCTGCCACATGAGGCCAGTACCATCAGTTGCGAGGCATTTTTGGCCAGAACTGGGGGAGGTCAAGTACCAAAATGGAGGTGATGAGTTGACCTTAATGACCTAAAATGAAATCTAAAAAACCGATTTAATGCACCAAAACAGCTGATCATAGCTGGTCAACATTTGCATTGCATGCACCAATATCACTGAATTGAGCATACAGTATAATACCAGTCAATTGCACATAGTAGAACAAATAATCGCTGGGCCAATGGGTACATGCAATTGACTGGTAGAATCAATCAACTTGGATATTTCCTGAGCTTAGTATTTTTGAGCCTTCGATGCGGTTTCATCTCGTTGCTGCAGCTTTGGATTGGGAAAGCCGCAGGTGTTTGCCATCAGAAAATCTCATATTGATTATTATAGTCATATCATATAGTCTTACAGTGGTCCAGAAATTTGATAGTTAAACGGTTAAACGAAACATAAAACAACATAAAACAAAACCAAATCTGGTTGTCCGTGTTGCCTCACTAGTGGCCGAAAGAATCTGTCAATGCCACCAAACAGCAATGACGTGGCAGAGCTTGCAAGAGCGGTGGCAATCATCGCTGAGGAGCCAGCGCAGTCAAGAACTCTCCATCTCTTGTCTGTTCCCCATGTTTGCCACTCCATTCTTCTTGTTCTTCATAGTAGGGGTGGGTCAAGACATATATTTTGCCATTTGTTCTTCATAATAGTGGGCCAAGACCTACATATTTATATATTGTTTACATTAGTTTACCATTTTTGGGGGGATGGATGAACATGTTACATTACATTGCATGTTACTTTGATTTACGAGCGTTTTAGGAGGATCCCGAAGCTGCCCGGGGCTTGCTGGGCATCGCAATGACACAGGTGGGTTCATGGGATAGGAGGATGCCGAAAAATATTCAGAGGCCATGTATTTGTAGATATTTGTAGATGTCAAAGCTAACCCTTATTGTGTATCCATCATTGATGTATATGATGATATGGAATATATGGAAAGAATCAAGTCCATATCATCCATATCATTCACATCATTGATTGATGTATATTACATGTGTTCAGTCTATTGGATGTTGGATATGCATGGGTTTGAGAGTCTTTTTTAATAGGAGACCACCATGATGTTTTTGCGGCCGGGAGGCACAGCCAGCTGTGGCCAAGCCTTTCATAGCACCGCAAAGACTGGGGCACTACCTCTCTGAAGCGACCGGTGATGACTTTGACGTTGAAATTACTTGGAGTGTGGCCGTTGTGGGCAGCACAGGCTGTGGAAAGAGCAGTTTTCTCCGGCGGTTTTGCGGAAGGAGTGGCAATTTGGAGTAGCTTGGAGGCACAGGGAGGCGACTGCTTTAAAAACGTCAGAATTGAGGTTTTCATGAAGGTGTGGACGGTGTAGATTTCAGACATAACTGGAGAAGAGCAGAAAATGCATTTCTCCTTGTTTGCGACAAGCAAGGTATCAACAAACACTGGTGACAGACTTTATCGAAAAGAGACTGGAACTGGACGGCGATGAAGTGACATTTCATCTTTGGGATACTCCAGGCTGGGCTTGAAACTCCGAAGCTGAAGCAGTCACAACAGATCTAAAGGGATGCCTTTAGGATTTCTTTTGGGCAGAACCTCAGTCTGCAGGGACTGAGAGTTAAGGTCAGTTGGTCATTCCCCTAAAGAAATCCTTTGCACTATCCTCTGGTAAACTAACATAACTATGGAAAATCACCATTTTCAATGGGTAAATCCACTATAAATGGTCATTTTCAATAGCTATGTTAAATTACCAGAGGGTAACCTTGCAGAATGCATCTTTTGCACGGCAGGCATCGATGATCCGCGTTCTTTAGCTGAGAAGCACTGCATGGCCAAAGCTTGCGTCATTGTCTACGCAGCGAGCGATAGGACGGGCAAACATAGAGCCCCAGGGCTTGTGGTTCCCCAAGTTTCCAACATCGTGTTGGGCTAATACACCACCCCCCACCGGCGAATAATAAACAACTAGGGGAGTTTTGAATACTAGGGGGTATTTAATATTAGGGTGAGAAAATTAAAGACCTTAGTTTTTTTTAACAAACTATATATACATATATATTATACAAATATATATTTATATTATATGTCAAAATCGATTAAATTCCCTTTTAAAATCTAATTAATTAATTGGATTTCGAAGGTTCCCCTAATATTAAAATTAAAAAATCCATAATCTATTTCAAAATCGATAAATACCTTTTATTTTTGTTTAAAAACTAATTATATAAACTATTGTCTATTGTCAAAAATTGGATTTCGAAGATTCCCTTAATATGAGATTAGAACCTTAATGAAGAAGCAAAACTTATCTATTTCATTCTATTTCAAATCGATTCAATCTCTTTTTAAAATCTAATTGAAATATTGCCAGAAATAGGAGTTCGACGGTTGCCCTGATATGAAATTAAACCTCAATTAAAGAACCTATTTTTTTCTACTTCAAAATCGATTAAATTCCTGTTTAAAATCTAGTGAACATACTGCCAAAAATTGGATTTCCAAGGTTCCCCTAATGTTATAATTCAAAACTAACCATTCTATTTCAAAGTCTATTAAATACCTGTAAAAGCCAGGAATAGGATTTCGAAGGTTCCCCTAATATTAATTTAAAACCTTAATTTAGAAAATCTAAAATGTTCGATTGTAGGGACGGACCCCAATTAAAAAAAACTCCCCGGTGTTGACTGGTCCTTATTATTAGTGGGTGAAACCCTCAAATGGGACCTTCACTTTTGAATTGTTTTCTAGAGGGGATCAATTAAAATCACATTTGCCAACTTCAAATTTCCCAAAATTGAACACAGACCCTAGTTTTTAATATGTTGGGTACGTTTAGTGTTAGAGGGAATCGATTAAACAAAAATATTGTTTCGGGACAAGGGTAATGAACATTTGCTATGGTGTGAACACCTGGGTGCCAAGGTCAGGGTCGTGCAGTCATTTTTGGCGCACAGCGATCCAGGAAGTCCTTTGAAGCAGCCGAGCTATGGATCGTCATGTTGCGCGAGTTGTGTGGGCCGCAAAGTCTGTTGGTCACTCAGCAGCCTCAGCAGTCTGAGATGGGGGGGTTCTTAAGCCATGGGACACAAAGAAGTTGCTGGTATCATGCAAATTGGATCAAATTGGTATATTTTGATGGGAAAATCGATGGTTTTGGGGTACAGGTACCTCAATTTTGAGAAACATCCAGAGTTTGAAGATTATTGGAATGTTTATTAATATATGGCTATGGGTCAAAAAGTCTGGTACTCTGTTGAACACTGACAGTTATCCATCCCACCATTTATATGAAATCCTAATGTATCATAGGTAGTGGCCCATTCCCGTATGAATGCAACCAGCAACTTGCTACTGGAGTCAAACAAACTGGTGGCTGCAGGTTCTTCGTATGAATCATCATGCCCATTTCTCTTGTGACCCGACGTCGGCTGCAGGTTATTGTCCGATGCAAGGATGATGTGGAAGGTGTCGAAGTGGAATTTGAAGAAGGCGAAGCTTTGGCCACAAAGTGTGGAGCTCAGGGAATGGCCAAGGTTTTCCATCGTGGATTTGCCCCATTTGCCCCATTTAGCGGGCCGCAAAAAAGGTTGGAACAATGAGATCTTCATCCACTGGATCTCAACAGGGTACCCTGTTTTGGATAAACCCACGTTCTTTCCGCATTGAGCTGCAAGGAATGGGTGTTCTATCCTGGTCTTCTATTGCCAACGAACATACAATACATATCAATACAGACTAAATATGCTCACAATCATTGAACAGTACATCAACTGCTTACTCATGCTTACTCAATGGTGTAATTTGATAGGATGGGGTAAGGCTGGGAATGGAACACCAAGCACCCGATGCACCCGTTGTGAGGTTTGGCATCAAGCATTTTGCTGCCGGTTCTAGACACTTGGCGAGGGGATTGGACCATCGGTTGGACCATCGGTTGGAGAAATTGGAGAGTTTGCCAGCAAAACTGGGGCGTTGATGATATAGATATAATTAGTATATATATGTATAATTACCTATATGGTATATATATCTAGATATGGTATAGATATATATCTAGATATGGTGTATATATATATATAGATATAATTGATATACTAGATATATATATATAAATACCTATATGACTTCCATATCCTGAAACAGAGTGGGTTGCGGGACAAAAACCAGGTTTTTGAGCGAAAACCCAGAAAAAGCGGTTTTGGCACCGAAAACCTGCTTTTGGAGGAAGAACTGGTTTTGCTAACCTGTCGAAAACCCGTGAATATGCCGTAAAAATGTGTGAATATCCAGTAAAAACCCGTCAACAACCCAGCGTCAAAAGCCGCCGACGATGCAGCCAAAGGAAAACCAGGTTTTCACTCTGAAAATTGAGATATTTTGCAAAACCCTCTTTTCTTGGGATATGGAAGCTCAAGGTATATATATATATATGAAAATATTGGAATTGGGCATGATGGGTTCATTGCTTATGATTTGCAATAATGATCATTGAGTATCCAGCAATCATTCAAGATGGCTCCTGGGTTTCGGGGTTTCTCAGCTGACCTCTTGGTTCATCCCTCTGACAGCGACGATCAATCGCAGGTGCCGGCGAAGCAAAAGAAGTCTTTGTTTTGCTGGCCAAGGATGCAACCTTGCAGACACAATCAACAGAGGTCTTTGAGAAAGTCATTTTTGGTTAAGGCCAACAAATAGGGTCAGGGGTGAAAGCCTTGACCATTGGCCATTTGCTAAAGATATGTCATATTTTGTTGGGTTCAAGTTTCAGGACATTCCCATAATCTGAGTTACATATGTATATATAATATATAATATAATATATCAAGTTGTATCCTGATCAGTCTTTGGTTTCATTATGTGTTATTCTACTGTTTGATGGTTCAGTCTTGTTGATCAAAAAATCCACGGTTGTGGCATCCACATCCAGCAGCGCCTAGCAGATTTTTACCAGGAGCTGTTGGAAAGGCAGCAGCAAACTGAGGAGCGCTTCTGTTGTGGTGAAGCTGTGGGAAGCCTCCAGCTGCCCGGCAGTTTTTGATTAACTGATGGGGTGGTAAACATAGATGAGCTATGACATACCATAAAATACCGTTGTTGATTGGTGGGAATCATATATTGCCTGAATTATTGATGATGATAATCAATAGCAGGGAAACATATCAACCAAGTATAATTAGATGGGATAAGAAGAGTTTTAATGGCTCGGATATGTTTTTCCCACTGGTTGATTCATGGAGGGCCCCGATGTGCCGATTGGATTTTTCTTAACAGGACAACATGTTACAGTAATACCGTAGGATTTTCCAGTGGATTCAATCAGAATATCATGGGAATATGGTGCATACAATCAACCGCAACCATACAAAGGGGATATGGTGGTTTATATAATCATCTACAATAGCTGCCAGACCTCACTTACAGCAGCAAGTTTGGCAAAAAAAGAACCAGGCCAATTTCTGGGCGAAGTTCTTTGGTTTGTCCAAAAACAAGGTATATACCCCAAACTCCCTCGGCTTGAAACATAAAATCTCATTGTCCTGTCTATTTGATTGCCATAAATTTGGGCATCTCCAAGCTCTGGACAAGCCCAATCTTTGTCAATGTAAATCTCCGGGCAGTTTTTTTCATTGCCCAGTCAGATTACTGGAGGGCACGGTAATACCAATTGGGCCGTAATCAAGAATCACCTCCAGCTTTGAGGCTACCTGTTGTTGATCCCTGCGCACGTCATCAGAATAGTGGGAGGGAATAAATAGATGGGTTGGTGGTTTCAATTTGTTCCACGATTTTTCCCATTCCGACCTCTGAAGTTTGTTTGGCATGGGTTAAAGCCACCCAGGGTCCGGGGACCTGTGATGAGTCTGAGGTGGGCAGACTCTCCCAACACCGCCTGGTTTGAGCCGCAAAAAGGGGGCGAGACGATCCCTTTGCGGCTCCGGGTAGCCGGGTAGCCCCAAATCATCCACAATTGAACCATTTTAGTATATGGAAACCCATGGTGATTTGGGGATCCCCCATGACTTAAGAAACCCCCATTTATCTTGGCCCAATATCATCATTGTGCACTCTGAGTGCTTGAAAACAACTCAGAGACAATGTTCCAGCATTTTCACTTCCCCAGTAGTGGATAAGTGGGTACTGTATGTAATTTACATATCATATATATTTATATATTATATTTGGTGATCCCTGATGATAGGAGAGGGCGTTCCGTTCTTCCAACAAAACACATAACTCCAAAGGTTGAAACAAACTACTCAAATCCCTCAAGTTGTTCAGCAACCCCAGTATGCACCAACAAGAGGGAAATAGGTGTGCCTGAAAATGATATAGCTCCAAAATGCATCATTTTGATAGGTAAAACGGTGACTCGAACCAATGAATTAGGATGAATTATATAGGTTTTCCCTGAAATTTTCAACCCCAGATTGATTCTCCACATTGTTATAGTTTCCAGTGGTTCTTTCCCATAATATGGCTATGAATCAATACCTATTAATACCATTTTTAGAGGAATGAACATCCATTTACCAGCTATTTTGATGTGAACTACAGGGGTACTATTGGTTTTGACCCACTGCCATATTTCTTTGGGGACCAAACGGCAACTTCCCGAAAAGGCGGTTGCAGTTCCCAAGCGGGCGCTGCCAAAGAGTCCTCCTCGTGACTTGGCTCGGCCGTGAATGAACTTAAGTGGCGAGCAATTGCGAAACCTGAAAAACAATGCAAGATCTTTGGATACAACATGAATCACAAGTATGATAGTACGTATATATATATATATACATGTATATTATATTATATATATAATATACACATAAAATATACATATATACACATAATATATAAATATATATTATTTTATATATACATCACATATGTTCTAATCGCTGCTTATCCGTTTGACAACTCAAAACTTGGTGTTAACATCACCATCGCTTTTTCCGTGACATGCAAAAATATGGCACTGTTCGTGTCAGTAGACTTGAACCAGTGGAATTGGCGACAGCTTCGAATCAAATTGTTTGCAGACATAGAATATGCCAGACACTGCCAGTTCTTTGAAACACGAGCTTCCCACTCTGAAATCATGTTTAATCAATTTACTGTATATCAATTTAAATAATGATACCTATCCTCATTGCAAGGTTTTGGGAAAAGGTCACTGGACGCACCAAAATTGCGCAGGTGCAAAAGCAAAAGCTGCCAACAGACCAGGACAGGATCGGTTGGTTCACAGGAAAATTTGCTGGACCCACCATGACCCAGTGGGGCAAAGTCCTGTGTCTCCATGCAAGCGCTGGATTCGTCTCACTTTTGGAATCCTGCATGTTCAATTTTTTGGACATTTGAGATGAAACAAACACATCGAATGACATCATGGTGGCTTGCACAATGTGAAGGTGTTGCAGGTGACGCTTCTCGTGGTGCTGGTCCTAAAGCAAGTTCATCAGGTGCTGGTCCCAATGTGTCGGAATTGCCAATGCATACAGTACTCGTAGCATCTTTTTTGCCAGAATATACAAAACTTGCAATTTGCGGGCATGTGTTTGATATTTTTGGATGTTGTTTTAGACATCTTTTGACTCGAGATTGACGGACGCTTGCATTTCCACTTTAATTGTTCCATTTGCAGCACATGTTCCTTGGGTCGGAACAGGTCCGCGGCCAAAGTCAAAATCAGAAGTGAGGAAACCAGGCCACATTGGTATGGTGACCCTTTTTCTGATGGTTTCAAAGATGGTCCTTTTTCTGCTCCCATCTCTCGTTCATATTAAGCACCCCCATGTTGTCATGTTGTGGTCCCAAAGAGGTGGTACAGTCAACGATAAACCATGGTTTCGCACGGGGGCTGTTTTTCATATGCACGGGGGATGGCTTCAACGGTAGAAATTGGCTTTGGGATGATTCCAAGGAGTAGCACCATGAGTAGGCACCATCCCGGTCCCTAGGGAGCCCCGGGTGCTTCAAGGTGAGCCATCAAGCGCCGGATTTGTTTTGTCGGCTACATCCCGATCATATCAGAATTCTGTCCCAGTTTCTGATGGTTTCTGGATGTTTTGGATGTTTGAAAGAAACCAGCGGTTTTTATCACACAATCCAGAAACCTATCGGTTGAAAACAGGGAACAACTATGATATATATATATACATACATAATTACATATAATTACATATATATATATATAACCCACTATGACCTCATGATATCTCCATGAAATCTCCATATGTTGGAAGTTTTTGTGGCTCTTTTGAGAGCCATTTTGCTGTTGGCCCATTCCAAGACAGCCCCAGCAGCTTCTGCCTTACAGGTGCTGCGAAGGCCAAGGCAGCAATTCAGCTGCCGGGTACGGAAAGCAGAGGCGCTGGGGTGCGGAGGACTGATGATTCAAGCAGCAAAAATGGGGAGAAAATATGATGAAACATGATGAAACCAACAAAATTGTGGAACATTGGGAATTTAAGGATATTTAATGATGTTTATGTAAAAATCAAGGAGGAAGTTCAAGAATTGGATTGTTGAAGCACCAAACAAAATATAGGGACAGCCAAGGGACAAATCAGGATCCCAACCCCAGTGGGCCAGATTCAGATGACCAAGATTTCACATGAGTTGGTTGAATCATGTGGTTGGTTCAAGGGGAAAAACTACAGGAAACGCGGCAGACATGTCCTGCAGGCGGCTCGACAAGTTCCACGCAGCCAGAAGTGACACAAAACTCAGGCGCTGATTTCGGGATGTTTTTCAGACGGCCCCTTTCTGTGGAGCTACAGGAAATGTATTATATATAATTATGATCCAAATGAGTGTGTCTGAAAGTAGGGTACCCCCTATTCCATCGATTGTCATCACCATCACAATAATCATCGTCATTATTCAGGCTTGGACGGATCCACAAAGCACAGCGGCGAGGAGCAAGAAGGTGCGAGATGCGGGGAAACGACAGCTGAAACAGGCTGAACGTGTCGTGTTTGTGTTCTTTGACTGTTTATTTCTTTAGCTCTTGATTCGTTACTTTGGATAGAGATGAATATAGATGATATGATGATATAGCAGATTCATGCAAATTGACAGCATGGGAGCTTTTGGGGATGGGTCGAAACCACGAACGCCAGCACTTCATCCTGTTTCCTTCTGACGAGTTGGACATGATCTATCTCAAAGACCATGAGTTGCACTAGGAGTCAGGAGTCGGATTTTTTCGCCAATTTGCACGTTGAACAGCAATAGTGCACAATAATGATCAATAATGTAAACATATACGTATGATATCATGTGATGATATGTATCTGTATATTTGTCATGTATGATTTTGGGTCAGCGTTTGGATATATGTGCATGTGCAAGATCAAACATAGAAGATACAATGTTAGAGGGTCAAAACCGCAGATAAGTTATTTCGGATGCAAAAAACAACTTAGATATTTGGTAAATACCTAGGACTGAAAAGGACCATGACAACAACATAATATATTATATATATAATATGTACAATATATATATATGATACATAAATACATAGCATCGTTTTCATGAATAGCGAGGGGGGGCAGGGCGGAACACAAAATCCAGAAAACGAGTACCAAGAGTTGTAGCAATCATAAGGTCAAGTGCCGTGCAAATTACATTATGCTTTTCGTTGCATGATTTTGTCTCTTCCAAAGTTGACTTTCCTGGCAGGGAAACAAATCATAAACCAAAGAATGTTGTCCAGATATTGAGACAAACCCGTTTGTATGTTTTGCTTCCTATGCGTTTCATATCTTTTTTTTGCATAAAAAATGCCATGGCCTTGAACAAAATCCTGGGGCCTGTGACGGCCTGTGCCACAGTTTCTTTATTCCAGGTGCTTGTTCGCCGACACCCACGACACCCATCTTGGAGACCATCCAGCGGCGCCATGTGAAGCTGTCGACCATTGAGAGCGTGGGGAATGTACAAGGCCGGGCGAGACGGACGCTCCATGGGGGAAGCAGACTCTTTTTTAGCCAGAAGACTCACTCTAGATACTCTAGTTATCAGAAGTCTGATTCAACATACGGGGGTCTAAATTTGATGGTTTATTATAGTACACCACCTGGCACCCTATATAGATGGCCGTGAAAATGGGGGCAACAAAAAGCCCCCATTTTCAGATACCCGGCTTGATGTGTAAGAATCTTCAAGCCACTTGGCATGCGCAAGCTACCAAAAAGAGATTAATGGACTGTGTATCATTGACAATGTTGATTTGGAAAATCTGTGTGGTTGTAATCATATTAATCATATAAATCAATCAATCAATATATTACTCATATTAATCATAATTTAGTTCATATGATGTATATGCACAATGTCAACCCCGGATTAATAAACCATGGTTTATTAATTAGGGTGGGTACAGTATTCCCCCAATAGTAATGATTTGATACTGTTTTATGGTACCTTCCCTTTTAAAAAACAGCCGTATTAGGGGTTTATTAATCCAGGGTTGACATTATATGTACTGTGATATTGAACTATCCAAATGAGACCAGGCTGGGCATGCTGGGCATGTCCGACCCTCCTCCCATGTGTCTGACTTCAGATGACACGCCACCTGCAGCGTCGGCCTCTGTGCTACCTGGGCTGCCAGATGAAGCATCGGCATCGCAAGGCCAGGTACACAGCGTTAAAATCGGGAAACCATTGGGGTTATGGATAGAAATGGGGTTATACAATGATGATAATGTAAGTTGGATAAGGATAGAATGTGATAGACTTGTATAGTGAGGATATGGGGTTATTTATACGTGTATAATATATAATATATACATATAATATATATATATATATATTATATATATAATTATATATATATACATATTATAATGCCAACACCGGATTAATACCCCCCCCTACCCCCCCTTAATAATAAGCAACTCGAACCATAAAACTTTGGATATGGCTTACGTCAATTAGATCTTAATAGAATTCCATTGGATTTGTTAAAATCTCATGGATCAGAAAGGGGGTTGATTAATCAGGGGCAAACCGTGGTTATTATTAATGGGGGACATGGGCTCATGGGGGGTACCCTTTGGGAGCTATCCAAACTGATGATTTTTATAAAGATGTTAATTAGAAATCGATCATTTGGGGAATAGTTGTTTTTTTGAAATTTTCAATGATCAATTCAAACCTTAAGTATAACAATGATGATAAAAAAAAGGTTAAAAAACAATTGGAAATAAATAGAATTGGAAATAAAAACTGTTGGATAAAAAAATGGATTTCAGCAAAGGAGGTTGATTAATCATGCTCTAGCCAAACGGTTTATTAATCCTGGGGGACCACCTGTTTTTAAATTGCAAAAAAAAATGGGAGGAGGTTTATTAATAACGGGGTGTTGATTAATCCTGACTTGACATTATATATATACTATATTATATATATTATATTATCATGTACGTTGGATTTCAAGTATTGATACGAATGGACGTATAATTGTCGATGTATCGGATACCCCCAACCTTTATATAAATTTTATGGACCGGAATGGACCGAAGACGCTGATTGGTAGAAGGTACAGGGGAGATTCACGGGTGATTTTTACGAATGCCCATCCATCCCCATCTTCCTGCCCTGTAGCTTGCCATCTTACTTGCTGTTGCTATTGCTGAAACATACAACAACTATAGTGTATATATATATATATATTGTACGTATATATATATATACATATATATATACACATATATATATATATATATACACGCATTTCTATAACTACAACGAGAACTACAACGGCAACCATTAACCCAGCTTTGCAACCCAACAGCATACCTGAATTTTCCACCTACGTCTTTTTTCAGACCCTGTGCCAAAATCCTGTTTTTTCAGTACCCAGAAAACTTTTCAGGACCTACTCTCAAATTCAGGACCTGGCCATTTTGGGGTATCAATGGTAATGGCAACCATTGGGTGCAAACATGTGAAACCAACATTTGGTGGATATTCAAGCCATTGGCATTGATCCACGCAAATAAAAGCACTCCCAGCCCAAACTCATGGCAAGGCAGGATCAGAATATAGTATATCCCAGAAAGTATGTCAGAATAGATGCCAGATAGGATGCCAGAAAGAATGTCAAATAGAATCTCAGAAAAGAATGTAAGATAGTATGTCAGAACATATATGCCACATATACGTCCAGATGATATGTCAGAAACTATGTCAGAATAGTGTGTCAGGGTGGGGATCACTCTTAATAAGGCAATTTTGAAAATATATTTCAGGTTCGGAATTTTCAAACTGTTGTCCTTCAGGCGCCGAAGCTCCCGTTGAAGGTCAGCATCGCCCCATGTCAACTGGTCCAGTCCCACTTCCATTTCAACAAGTCCAACTTCATCGATTAGGGTGTTGGTTGAATGGACTTGGGACTCTAGCTGGCACAGCATCCCTTGTAACCCTGTAGACACTGTAGTGGGCAAAAAGATTGTAACACACAGAATCAGCATCATTTTGATCAGGCATTCTTTTTGCTAATCCTTTTTCCCTATTACGAAAAATACCCCCAAATGACAAAAACTAGGTGCGATTTCCAATTTTGGGAAATGTCAAATTGGTTAATCTGATTTTTTTATTGATCCCCTTGAGGAAACAATTTTAAAAATGAAGGTACCATGTGAGGGTTTCACCCCCAAAGAATAAAAAACTAGTTAACACCGGGGTGTCTTTTATTGGGGTCCGTCCTTTAAAATCGTCAATTTTAGTTTTTTTAATTCAGGTGTTGGTGTTTTATTTGATACTAGGCGAAAGCTTCGAAATCCTATTCTTGGCAGTATTCTATTTAAAGATTATTTTCACGGATTTTGAAATTAGAAACAAAAAACGGTTTAATCCCTTCCCCCTGTTGCTAAACAGTCGCCCCTTCACCCACCCACCCAAATAACAAACACCTGGAGGAGTTTCTAGTATTGGGGGGGTCTTTAGTATTAGGGTACGAAGCTTCCCCCTAATACTGATAAAAAAACACACACATATATATATATATACACATATTTCTATTTCAAAATCGATCAGATTTCTTTCTTTTTAAATCCAATTAAAATATGGCAAACAAGTGGATTCCGAAGCTTAATATCAAATAAAAACTCCCAACATAAAAAACTATGTATGTTTTTCTATTTCGAAATCGATTAGATTTCCGTTTAAAAAATTAAATAAAATATGGCCAAAAAATTGGATGTCGAAGCTTTTCCCTTATATTAAACCCTAATATCATTTGTTTTTTTCCTGTTTCAAAATCGATTAGATTTCCTTTTGAAATCTAATGAAAAACAACAAAAAATTGATTTTGAAGCTTTCCCCCAATATCAAATTAAAATCCAATTATTAAAATATGTTCAAAAATTGGATTTCGATGCTTCCCCTAATCTTGCATGAAAAATTCCAATATAAAAAACTAAATTTGTTCTATTTCAGAATCGATTAGATTTCCTTGTAAATTCAAATTAAGATATTGCCAGAAATTGGATTTCGAAGCTTTCCCCTAATATTAAACCCTCATATCAAAGACTATTTTTTCTATATCAAAATTCATTAGATTTCCTTGTGAAATCTAATTAGAATATGGTCAAAAATTGGATTTTGAAGTTTTCCCCTAATATTACATTAAAAAAACCCAATATAAAATATTATTTTTTCTTTTTTGAAATCGATTCGATTTCCTTTTAAATTGTAGTAACAAAAATAAAAACAAAAACCGGATTTTGAAATGTTTCCTCTAATATTAAATTACCAGCCCTAATATATTTAAAAAAAAAAACTGTTTCAAAATCGATTAGTTTTCTGTTTAACATATAATTAAGATATTGCTAAAAATTGGATTTCGAAGTTTTCCCCTAAGATTAAATTAAAAACACTAATAAAAAAAAACTATGTTTTTTCGATTTCAAGAATCGATTAGATTTCCTTTTGACATCCAGCAAAAATATTTCCAGGCAATGCCAAAAAGTGGATTTCGAAGTTTTCCCCCAATATTAAAAAAACGTTGTAATATAAAATACTTATTTTTTCGACCTTAAAAGACCCTAGTTTAAAAAAACACCGGGGCTGACTAGTTTTTATTTTTTGGTGGTGAAATTCTGAAATGGGACCATGTTTAATTTGTTTGTGAAAAGGTATCAATTAAAAGTCAAACTGGCCAGCCTGAAATTTCCCAAAATTTAACGCGGACCCTAGTAAAAGGAATCAATGAAATATTTTAGTATTTAGGGTACGTTTAGTAAAAGGAGATGGGGATTAGTAAGGTTTTCAATTTCATATAAGGGGAAGCTTCGAAATCCAATTTGGCAAGATTTGAGTTAGATTTTGAATAGGAATTCAATCGGTTTTGAAATATAAAGTTCATTTTTTAAAACGAATGTTTTCAATATAATGTCAGGGGGAAGCTTCGGAATCCAATTTTGGCAATATTTTAGTTAGATGTTATTTAAAAAATGTTTTCCAATTTAGTTTTTTTTAACCAAGGGGGAAGTTTCGCACCCTCATACTAAATACCCACTAAATACCCACTAAATACAAAAAACTATTCCGTGTGTTCATTATTGGGTGGGGAGGGGCAGACGGTTTATTATGACGCAGGGATTGGTCAGGCATCACTTGCTGGAATTATTGGATTCTTTTGGGATGATTGGTATGATGTTTAGTCAGGCATGGTTCCCTTCAGTCATGCACGATTTTTGCAAAAATCCTATTTAGGCACGACCCCAAAATCCCAGCCCGGCAAATTCCGGCCCGGGCCCTGCAAATTCCGGCCCGCGCCCTGCAAATTCCGGCCCTGCGTTTTTCCAAAATCAGGCAAAACCAGTAAATCAGGTATTAAGTCAGGTGTAGTTACCTTTTAAGTCATTAAAGCTAGTCAGGCATGGTTCCAGTGGGTACCTTTTAATTGTGAAGGCTAGTCAGGCATGGTTCCCTTAATTCAGGGGCATGGGTACCTTTTAATTATGAAGGCTAGTCAGGCATGGGTTCTGTTAAGTCAGGCGTGGGTGGGTACCTCTTAATTATGAAGGCTAGTCAGACATGGTTCCCTTAAGTCGGGTGTGGTTACGCTTTAAGTCATGAAGGCGAGTCAGGCATGGGTACCTTTTAAGTGATGAAATCTGAATCAGGCGGAGCTCCTATTCTAAATGTGTTAAATCCAATTGTTCAGTGTGGAAAATCGATTTTTTTGGCTGGTCTACGGGCAAACCCTGTGTCTTCCAATACCCTAGCGTGCTGATGTCGCTTGCCTGCATAATAGTTAAAGGCCAAAGCTTAGGTCATCAGTGTGATCCTGAAATGGCGCCACGACCAAGAAGATGACATGTGTAAAATGGGCCCTGGATTAACAAAGGCTGACTAATGAATTTGGAGGATGCCACTAAAGTATGACATGTAATCACTTTTGAGGAGCACTCTATGGCACGCAGCGCGCGCAGCCTGCTTTACGGTTTAGCGTTTGAAAGTTTTAGGCTTTGTCTCTATGGCACGCAGCATTTGAAAGTTTAACCATTTACCTCTATGGCAGGCTGTGCGCGCAGTACGCGTTACGGTTTAAAGTTTGAAAGTTTTAGGGTTTATGTGTGTGGCACGCAGCGCGCACAGCACGCATTAGGGTTTAGGGTTTGGAAGTTTTATAGTTTATTTTATTGCATGCAGCGTGCACGGTTGCAGGGTTCCAGGGTTCCAGGGTTCCAAGGTTGCAGGGTTCCAGAATCCTTGAGGGTTCCAGGGTGCCAAGGTTCCAAGGTTTCAGGGTTCCACAATCGCAGGGTTCCAAGGTTCCCCAGGGTTCCGGGGTTCCAGGGTTCCAGGGTTCCAGGGTTCCGGGGTTCCAAGGTTTCAGGGTTCCAGGGTTCCAGGGTTCCAGGGTACCAGGGTCCCACGGTTTCAGGGTTCCAAGGTTTCCAGGGCTCCAAGGTTTCCAGGGTTTGAAGGGTTCCAAGGGTTCCAAGGGTTCCAAGGGTTCCAAGGTTTCAGGGTCCCAGCAGGGTGCCAGGTGTGCAGAGTTGCAGGGTTCCAAGGTTCCAAGGTTCCAGGGTTCCAAGGCAGGGTTCCAGAATCCTTGAGGGTTCCAGGGTGCCAAGGTTCCAAGGTTTCAGGGTTCCACGGTCGCAGGGTTCCAAGGTTCCAGGGTTTCAGGGTTCCAGGGTTCCGGGGTTCCAGGGTTCTGGGGTTCCAAGGTTTCAGGGTTCCAAGGTTCCAGGGTTCCAGGGTTCCAGGGTTCCAGGGTCCAGGGTTCCAGGGTTCCAGGGTTTCAGGGTTCCAGGATCCCAGGAATCCAGGTGTGCAGGGTTGCAGGGTTCCAAGGTTCCAGGGTTCCAAGGTTGCAGGGTTCCAGAATCCTTGAGGGTTCCAGGGTGCCAAGGTTTCAGGGTTCCACGGTCGCAGGGTTCCAAGGTTCCAGGGTTTCAGGGTTCCAGGGTTCCGGGGTTCCAGGGTCCCAGGGTTCCGGGGTTCCAAGGTTTCAGGGTTCCAGGGTTCCAGATTTTCCAGGATTCCAAAGTTCCAGGGTTCCAGGGTTCCAGGGTCCAGGGTTCCAGGGTTCCAGGGTTTCAGGGTTCCAGGATCCCAGCAGGGTTCCAGGTGTGCAGGGTTGCAGGGTTCCAAGCTTCCAGGGTTCCAAGGTTGCAGGGTTCCAGAATCCTTGAGGGTTCCAGGGTGCCAAGGTTCCAAGGTTTCAGGGTTCCACGGTCGCAGGGTTCCAAGGTTCCAGGGTTTCAGGGAGGGTTCCGGGGTTCCAGGGTTCCAGGGTTCCGGGGGTTCCAAGGTTCCAGGGTTCCAGGGTTCCAGATTTTCCAGGATTCCAAAGTTCCAGGGTTCCAGGGTTCCAGAGTTCCAGGGTTCCAGGGTTCCAGGGTTCCAGGGTTCCATTCCGGATTTTGAAGGCTGCAAGTCCCCGCGAGCCAGCCCCGGCCCTAGAGATTGAAACCCAACAGGCCCTGCTGTTGGGAATAACTATTGCTATAGATCTAAGTGAAACAACTGGTACGGATTTGAGAATTGTCCTATGTCTTAAGATCGCCCCCAACTTTTTTGGTGATCCCAATGACCAATGACCTGTCTGACAGGAGAAGAAAGTCCCATCGACTCAGCAGTTGGGCACGTGACCACTTGTTTTAGCAGCTGGAGACAGTTGAGCTTGGGATCTTTGTCTTCTGGAGGTCATCATGGGAGATGGCTATGGGAGTCATGGGCCGTCATGGGCCCATGGGGGCCTGAGTTGGGCCTGAGTTGTTTGGCTGTTTTGCTGATGCTTTTAGATGTGGAATATCTATATAGAATCTATATGGATATCTTAGAGTTGGTTTGAACTATTTTGCGGCCTGGGGATGATGATTTGAATCAATTTGGCTTTCATAGCTTTTGGGATAGGTGACTGAACCACCAATCAGCATCTTGGGACAGACTAGAATTTTTCTGAAAAGTTCTGTGGCTTTCACGGCTGCTGAAATTTTGTTGATTGCGTTGACCATACAGATGCCGAAACTTGCGATGTGTCATTAAACTCATTCAGGAAGATCAGCTTGCAAGAAGTCTGCCCGTGTCCTCAAAAGATTTGAGCAACATTTTGAAACGGGATCTGCAATCACAAGCATCCGGAAGGACTGTTGGCAGCCTCTTCTTAACATCATTTGGTTGTGTGTTTGAGAATTGGACCCATCAAGATCCATTTCCCAAGAGTTTTTATCATTCTCCAGCCCCAAGTTGCCATGGAGAGCAGCGAACACGGCTTTGCTCCAACAAAGGGGGGATTGGATATGTCGCTATAAGATATTATAAGATGCTATAAGTTGATGAGTTCTTTCTTTATTCATTACATTTCATTTCCATATCTGGCCATATCTTAGCCCATTTCTGTTGACAGGTTTGCCCACCATCCTCACTCACCTCTCTGAGAGCAAGAAGGGCATCGAGAACGAGGAGCGTGACCCGGAGCCTCCGGAGCCGGAGGCGGCGGAGGCGGCGGAGGCTCCGACTCCATGTGCCGAACCCGAGTGGCTCGGCCGTTTTTTGTCCCAGAAAAATCATGGCGTAGCGGCGTAGCTGAGATGCATTGTATAGCATCCAATGTCATGGTGAGTAGAAGGTAATTATGATAACGTAATTTTATGATATTTTATACACGATAAGTAAAACATAGGAAAACATATATGTGTTCGCAACAAAAATCATTCACAATGCTCTCATTGGTCTGCAGTCTGCAGTGACCTTTCTGCTTTGGTACCGCTGTAGATTCATCCTGCAACCGCCCAGGCCAGCACCAAGCCCCGATCGCAACCCGCATGACCCAGAAGGCAGAGTTGCCGTAGTTGGTCCATGTTGGTCCGCTGGTTTCAATCAAGGGTTAGTCATGGCCCCATGGCTAATCGACATGGTGGTCATGGTGCTGGCGGTTTTGGATGGTTTTAATAGAATGTTTTACCCTCTGGTAAATAAACATAGACCCTGAAAATCACCAATTTTTAATGGAAACTAGTCTTCCAACCCCTATCTGCCAGGGTCTATGTTAATTTACCAGAGGGTAGACATTTGTGTTCTATCCAATCCGTCGTACCAGTGAGCATCCCCAATCCCTCAGCCCAAAAAGAAACAGGCTTTGCAGGCGCAATCCCTCAGCGTCTGGATGCGCGGCCTGCGCTGGTCATCAACATACCACCAGGTGGTGACCTTGGGATGAAAGCTTGGTGATTTCTTTGAGACAATGAAGGTAATTTATCAACTGGAAAGTATATAGTTACTGATTCGATCTGATTTGTTTGACCCAAAATTATACTATAACATGAAGATAATTTCTGTAATAGAACTTATTCTTTCAGTCAAACCAAAACATTTGAACTGTTAATCAATAAATTTACTGACTTATTGGAAGAATCTTCCATTTTTTTTAAAGAGGTTAACAGTTGTTCACAGATACGTCAGATACGCCAAGCCGCGAGACTCGTTCCGCCACAGGGGACAACAACGCTCTGCGCGCCGAAGAGGTGCAATCCGGCAAGCCGTGCCATGGATGGCATGTTCTGAAGTGACGAAAGAAAGAGATGTTGAATCATGTCGGGACAACGTATTATGTAGATCGCACAAGAGCTGATGGTTTATCGAATCTGGAAGCAGTTTTCCTGTCTGGTCTTCTTGAAAGAATGCGTCTATTCATGAATTTTGGCAGACATGTTGGTTTTGACCCATTGCGAGCCCTAGATACTGTATGGATTGAATGAATTTGAACCATTGGTTGAGCTCATCAGAGGATGTTTATCAAACCTGTTCCGTCAAAATGCAATTCTTGACCTTTGATGATGTTTGTAATTTCTATTATGTACTTGTATGATCTTGTATGTTAGTTACAATCCAGCACCTCCGCTTGACAGGTGAATCCTACTTTGACTGCTCCTGCTGGCGCTCAGTTGGACGAGCGGGAGTACCGGCTGCTCTGGGAATCTGTGGTGCAGGCAAGGAATTGACAGCAGCCGCTTGGTGTTTCGGGAAGTCGTTGAAGGCTGGAGCCATGTACCCCTGGCCCTAGCCCCTATTGGAGTGGAAAATCCGCAGTGCTGCATGCAATTTCAACGGATCACCAGCACGTGGCTCAAGAACTGTCAGAGTCGTCAGCGCAGGTGCTGCACATGAGTTTCTGCACAAGCAACAGCAACAAGATATGCAGCATTATGCAGCCGCAATGCGGGGAGTCTATGGTATTCAATTCGGAACCATCAAAGCAATGCAGTTCCGTCCTCTCAAATCACAACCACGTCGAAAAATATTGCATGATGAAGAGTCAGGGTTGGAACTACAATGATTGTAGAAAGCAGAGATGTACTGGGAATGTTTGGACTACATTAGTCCATGTTGTACAAATGTCCCATCCATACCTCGGATGACCCCCAACAAACTGGTATCCCGTTTGGAACGGCCTGGCATTGCCCATGGAAGGCTTCGTGTCATACACCAGGCAGACAGACGCATGGATTTACAGGTGGTTTTCTGCAAGTATTCCCTTGAAACCAATCCAATGGGGTTTAGTCTGCACTTCGGAGAATCTACTGGGAATATGGCTTAGTCAATCTTAGTCATGGTTTGTTTGATTATGGGGTACGCACAATTCCAAAAGTTGCAAGAGTTCGAATGCTCACTTTCCCCATTGAATCTTGATTTTTTGGTTATACAGTTATACCTTATTTCCGGACACACCCAATTTAGGTTCATTTTTTGGACCCCCAAGCAGCAACTCCGAGGACACTGTTCGCGATGAAGGGTCGCAGGGGGGAAATGCCCGGGTGGAACAGCGATTGCTGTCTCTGGAGGAAGGCTTCAACACATTCAAGGAATTCACAGAGCAGCAGCAGAAGGCCTTTTTGTTTCCGCATGGCTGAACAAACTCCAGAAATCTGATATGGAATGATGTACATGTGATGTTTAGATACTGTTGAGTCTCATCCTCCCAGGTATTTCTAGGCTTTCATTGCAACATCTTTTTTTTCACCACGAAAGTCATCACAATTCGCCCAGATTCATCACCATGTCATGGCCCTGAGGCCCAACGGACTCTTGTGGACATGCAGATCGACTCTGCTAAAAGAGATCTAGAGCTTGGGATCCGATCTCTTCGACAGCAAAATCATGCGGAATTGTTTCAAGAAGCTGAACGAGTGGCTGGGATTGGCTGGGTGACAAGCTAAAAATGAATCAGTGGAATGAACTAGCTCAAGAACATTTAAACAGATTCACAGGAAGCTTCACATCTTTCATATTTAGTTTGTGTTTGTTTATGTATGTTATGTTCTTTAAAATATGTATGTAATTAAGTGTATTTGGATGTGATCTTCCACTCTTGGGGCCCAGGTTGCCATTGCTGCTGTTGGCAAAGGAGTTCGCGAATCCCTTGCCACAGAGTTGGCATCGTTGCATCGAGTCGTTCGGCAAATGAATGACTCCGTGGATGAACGATTGCGGATTTTCGAACAGCGACTGAACGGCATGGAAAGCCGCTTCTCTCAGGGCTTGGAGGAATCTCTGCACCAGCTTGAGGAGCTGGAATTCAGATTTTCCAATGATAGCAGCCGTCTATCTCCAGAACTTGCGAAGCAACTGCCAGACTTCGTGAAAAGCTGGGGTCATGGACGTTTTCGATCCCAAAATGAGCTGGTGACCTATGTTGACGTGACCATGACAGATGTGAATGGTTCGTTAAACCAAGCCATGCAGACGGTCAAAGGCGAGATTCAAGAGATGCTGAAGGTGGCCTCAGAAGGCATGGGCAGTCGGATCGAGGAGGTGGTGGAAAGTAAAACCTTATCCATCGAAAATCATCTCACCTCAACAGACATGATGCTCAGGAATGTCTTGGCCAAACAAGCCAAGGAAGCTGAGGCTTTACAAGAGAAACATCCCAAAAGAACTGTGTCTGATGCCAAAGAACGCGCAGGACAGGACCAAGCAGATGCCAAAGTGCGCTCTGAAACAGCTGAGATGGAAGGGAAAGGTCAGGATGGTTCGAATGATATGAAGTCATGGCTTAACAAGCAGATTTCCGGTATCACGGGAGATGCTCAAGTTCAGTCACACAATCTGGAAGGAGCTGAGCTTCTCTCTTGGATGAAGAAACATGTGAATGAGCTTGTCACCGACTTACTTCCAGCTCATCCAGTCGCTACACCATCACCACCACATGAGGATGCCTCGCCATCCTCGCCAAAGGACACTCCATTGAGCTTAGTGACTCCATGGATCCAGCCTGGGTTGATGATCCCTATGGGGTTGCCCCCCAAAATATCACCCCAACTGCTGGGGATGCACCATGGTACATCCCATGTTTGGACAAGTCATGACAAGTCCTTATGATGTAGGAAAGGGGGGGCCAAATACATGCATGATGTGAGGGTATCATAGGGTATCATGAATGCTAGGATCGCTAGGATGCTGCTTCATTACATTCGAATTGCCATCTTTCCTTTCGCTCTCCCCACATCTCCCCTTGATCCACAAGGATCATGCTGATCGAGAAGGAACGGCCAGTTTTCCCAACATCGACTTGGAACGCTTGGATCGTTTGGAGCAGAACTTCACCACTTTCGCGGCCAATCTCAAGGATTTGGACACTGCACGGCTACCTGGTCGTCTGGCTTTGTTGGAAGGTGCCTGTTTGGAGGAACGGTTGGCCCTGCTGGAATCCATGAACACTGCTGGAGTTGCTGCGCAAGGATTCGATGAGTCGATTTTCGATATTTTAGTGGAACTTAACCAATGGTTTTTCCATTGGTTTTCATCCAACAGTTAAATGGGGCAAACCATGTTGAACCTATGGGGCAAACATATCATTTGTTGAACCATATGCCATACGTATTGTTGGTCCCCAAATATCCCCAAATCACAAATCAAATCACCTGAAAACTCTGAGGTTCGGTCCCAAGGACCACAGCCGGGGCTGCCACTACCATCGCCTCAAGGGACTTCGCAGCTGTTGGCCCTACGTGAGGAGCTACAAAGGCTCAGAAATCGCGTCGCATTGGTGGAAGGTTTGGTGCAGATTCCTGAGGCGCCGCTTTGGGGTGATGGAACATGTATGAACATCATATTATACGATGTGTATATATACGTATATACGTATATTATATAGCGGAAGACTAGAGTAGTAGGGAGTAGACTTGGGATTTCACGTTTGTGCGAAAACCTTCACAACCGATAGGGGATCACCATGGATCACCAACTTACCGATACCCTATGTTCACACATACAAACCTTCACAACCGATAGGAACCCACTTTGGCCATGTCCATTGAGGGTAGTAAGTAATTTTGTTCGCCACTCATGTCATATATCTTATTATTAATTATATTATATACAACTAACTACCCACCCCCAAACGGAATTATTGATATACGAAAAAAAGAAAAACAAGAAACACCAGAGGCAAACAAGAAATGGCTCAGGCTCCGGGGACAAAACATCAGGCGGCATGAGATTGATTTTGGCTTTGATGGGTTGAAAGTGCCTCTGGAAAACAAGAAACGCCTCAAACACCAGGGTTTACCAAAGCACTTGGACTTCCCAGCGCCACTTTGCAGTTGCAAAACCCAGAACTAGATGCCAAACCCCTGACAAACAGCCATACATACTGATAAAGATTTCCCGGTGTAAGAGACGCAGCAAGAATAACAATTGAGAAGCCAATCCCTACATGTTTTGATAGTTGCATGTTGCAAGCATTGGTTTCATCGACAATGAATGAATGGGTTTGCAGCTTTCAACAAAGTTTCGCGAGAGAAATACACCCAGAAGAAACGCAAAATCATGATAAAACATGTTGGACATGTTTCCGGCACAATTTGGATTTCAATTTTACGACTCCGTCCTTTTCCACCGTTTTCCCTTCCTTTCCCACCGCTTTCTGTCCTCAATATTTTTTGTTTGTTCTGGTTTACTTCTGTTCTTTTCGTGATGACGTATTTTGATGTATTTTGTTGTATTTACTATTTACGTACTATACTTCCATTGCCTTTTGGAAACATGCTGCAAATGCTGTAACAAACAATTCCACTAAGACAGCATTTTGTGGAGCAATGACAGTTTCGCAGACATGCCGAAACCCTGTACCCCCAGTTTCGGGTGACGTCGCACTATTGAGATTTGGAATTTCATTTGAAATCAAACAAGTTCCGCTGTTATTTACCCTAAAACAGAGAAAAATCAGAAAACAAAGACGACAAAGAAACGCCTCAGGCCTCAGCATCAAAACCCAAAAATGCCTCGGATCAGTTGGTGGCACAATGACGAGAAACGCCAGATGGCTTTTAGGGGTAACCCATTTTTCAGACAGACTCATACTTGTACTATTTTGTACTTGTAATCAAATATGAGTTTGATTGACCATCTAGAATGGGATAGTTTCCAAGAATTGATGTGTGTTTTGTGATGTTTCTTGGAGTGATGTTGACTATGCGGAATGATGATTGTGTATTGCAGGATATTGCAGCCTTGTTCTTGTAGTGATTCATCCTCAGGTGGAACATCGAAAGGAAGAAACTCAGGATTCACCGAGATCCCCTCGGTTGGCTGACATGGAAGTTGATGAGAACTTCAAAAGTGAGATGATGAACTTGTGGCGGGCGGTGAGTGGGGATCAACGAACCCTGGATCTCCTGTCCTCCAAGTTGGAAGATGCCGTGCGCAATTTCAGCAAGATGCAATCCCGCTTTGAAGCGGCCATGCCTCAAATGTTGCAACTCTTGGGGGAGCTGCTCAAGGGTGCAGGCACAGGTGATACTGGTGAATCACCACAAGTGGATGTGCTGCTTGCCATGCAGAAACTGCTCTATGGTGGTGAATCAGGCATGCCATTTGTGTCACCAGGAGCCATGAGGGAGGCTTTCAACTCCTTTGAAGCCATGGTTCGCAGTGAGATGGAGAAGCTGCGAGATGAGTTGCTGAGAGATTTTGACGATAAGGCCCCCAGAGAGGATGTGGATTTCCTCGCTGAGCAACTTCGCCTTTGGCAAGGCCAACTGCAAATGCTGTGGCAGAGCTTTGAAAAACTCCTGAACAACGAGCAGGAAGTGGACGCGGCAATCTGGCGAAAGCCCTTAACAGCTCGCTGTGTCAGCTGTGATCGAAAGGTGGACATCAAAGGTTTGCTCTTCGACCGTGACACGCCCTTCCTTCCCACAGGAGCCAACTCTCCTAGCCCCAACCATGACCGCCACGAACGCCAAGAACGGGCTCAATCGGCTCGGCGTGGTGCTGGCAGCCGGGCAGGGCGACCATTGCCATCCATTGATGGGGCTGATGCCCATCGTTAATGAACTGTGCAGCTGTGTCGGCCTAAGGCCAACAGCAACCCGAAGAAAAGCCATGGGATTTGGAGTGGAGCTGTTTGTTGGATTTTGTTGGTAAATTTGTGAGTTGGAACTAGACATAGTGGACATAGTGGACATTGCGGGACCAAAGTTTGCTGCAGGGTTGATACCTATCGCCCATTTCAGGGAGACATCCAGATGCTGCAGGAATTCATGACCCGAGGCAGGGGAGCAGTCAGAACTTTGATCATCCCAGAACTTGCATGAAATAGTGGGGAAAAATTGGAAAATTCACGATCAGTTTTCAAAACATATCAAAACCATCATTTGGAATGACGAATAAGCTTGATTCAATTTGAATCTTAAATCACTTTATAAAATTTTAAAAAAATATCCCCCTAAAAACACCCTTTTTGGAATGCATCATGCATCAGCTTGACTTATTTTGTCAGTTTGAATGTCAGATCAATTTTGATAATATATTTTTCAAATACAATCCCCTAAAATCCCCTATTTGGAATGCATCATGCATCAGTTTGATTCATTTTTAATTTTAAATCATTTTGTAATATCAGTTTCAAATACAATCCCCTAAAATCCCCTAAATATATAAAGATATAGATAGTGATAATGATCTTACAACATAAAAACCTCAATCGTGATCATTGGATCATTTGGATCATAGATTCTATAGAAACTACCCTCTGGTAATGACTAACATAGCGAACTGGAAAGATCCACCATTTTTAATGGGAAAATCCACTATTTCTATGGCCATTTCCAATAGCTATGTTAGTTTACCAGAAACTATATCCAATGACATCCAATGACAATCCCGCAATCCTCACCTTTCGCAATGCGACGGTTTCGCAGAGGGCGGCTTCAGAGCGGTCGCCTTTGCGACATGAACGGCCACAGCATTTTTTGGCCACTTGTCCTATAATCCGCCGGCAGATGGGATATCACTACATTATTTATAATATAAAATCTGCACAACCGATAGGGGACGACCCAGTTTTGCTCGTGGCAATTACGGGGAACAAATAATTTTGTTCGCTACTCATATGATTATATTAATATATATATATATATATTATATGTATATATGTCATGGATGTGAATTATGCTAGTCAAAGAATTCAGAATCACTTGATAAACTTGATAAAGTTTTCTCAACCAAAGCAGCGAGGCTGTTGAAATCGTCAACAGGTTTGAAAGTCTGACAATGCCAGGCCTTTGTGCAGTAGTTGTTAGATTCCCTCAGAATTTGCTAAGCTTTGACCGCTGCGTTCTTGGATCACTGTCACTAATCTATATGAGACAGTTGTACAAAACCGCTGTCAGTGACAGTCAGTTTAGATGTGCGCCTTAGGAACGCCCTGGCATACCAGCAGCAGCAGGCGGCCTGTACAACCTGCAATCTGCTCCATCATTTTGATCACAGCATATTCACCATATGTGCCATGGTCATCCAAGTGTTGGTAAAAAGATTTAAAAAGAAAAACGCCCCAAGGGGATGGTCATACTATGGTCATACCACCATGAAGAGCGGGATAACATGTGACCATATAACATCATATAACCACTATAAGTCATGGATGACCCCCATTCATCCCATGTAACTGGACGGACTGGATGGCTGTGGATGGCTAGCACGTCGAAGAAATCATGGCAACAACATACATCGGACATGTCGGGGAATTTGTGTTTCCTCCAAAAAAAAAGGATACACAAAGCCATAAGATGCCATAAGATGCCATAAGCATTCGGATCCTTTGACTATTTTGACTCCGGGCAGGTGGCCATGTTTTTGCTCCATCACTTTCCACCCGGAAGTGCGCAGGGCATTGACCTCTGGGAGGCGCGTCCTAAATTCTGAGGATCTGCAAAGAGAAGCTAAGGAGATTCTGGATATTGAATGATATGTAGAGGTCATATTAGGTCATTATATTGTCATCACATGCATGATTGTTTTTCTTTGGAAGCACTTCCACGGACCAAGATTTGGAAGTTGAAGATTGGTGCATAATCATTCCTCAGTCGAGTCGAAAGTCTTCGTGGACCTTTTCAGTGACGAGTTGAATGTATATACACTAATAACGTGAATAATGTGAAAAGTGAAAAGTATCGAGACGTGACGTACTTCCCAAATTTGCATGCAGCATGCGTTTTTAGTGACAAATTGCAGAAAGAGTATTGCGATGAATTCAGGAACCATCAGGAACTCCAGGAAAGAATCGGGATCCAATGGTGATCAGAGTTACCACTTACCTCAATTGATCCTGCCTGAGACTAGAGGTCCATCAGAGGAGGAAAGACACCTTGCTCCACCTGTGTTTGTACCTGAGACGGTGTATCCCGATCTATGGAAGATATGGAAGTTGTCGGTGCAAAAAGTAAGGCTAAGGCCGGCGAATGGAGCTTGCATCTCCCTATTGAAAACAATCTCTGCCATGACAATCTTCAAGTCTGTGGCTGCCTTTCTTCAGTCTATGATGCCTCGAAGACAGCAAGGTGTCTACTTCCAGTACTTCTCGGCCAGCCCTGTTTTGTGTTGGGAGTGCGAGCCGGTGGGTTGATGTTCCATGGGCCTTGACGTTACAGTACATAGTAATAGTATGTAATAGTAATATTATCATATTTATACATTATCGACATTTGAATATGTGGAGGGCGGGCCAGACCACAAGGCCCCGGAGGTGGTATGAAACACCAGTTCCATTTGTATATTTGAACGTATAGTTAGATAGATTGGAATCCGTATGTTTAAATGGCGGGGCGGGCCATGGACTGGAGGCAGTCTAAGATACCAGTTCGTATATTTAAAAGTCAGTATACTAGATGTAGTTACCGTATAATATTAATATCATATATATATATATACACATAATTATGGATTGGATTAGTTCGCTGACATGTTGATGGCCATAGGCATCAATTTCCTGATTTGCCTCATGGGATCTTCAACAAGGATGCCACACTAGCATCCTCGGCATTGCCAGGCCCCAGTGGCTGAACTCTTTGAAGTGCTCTTTCTGGGTTCGGCGCTGATGGCTTTTGCAGACGTCTACCAGAGAGGAGTTCATGCAAGCCCTTGATTACATTGGTTAAGTACTGTTAAGTAATTACTGTATGGTATAGTATGGTTAAGATTGGTTAAGTGCTTAAGCTATGAGTAAAAGACATGTTACATGTTGATCATTGTTGATTATGTTGATTGTTGATCTATTTTGGGCAGAGGTTTTAGTCTGCATTCCCAGAGCCAACATTTGAGGCATGGGCCAGGTGGATAGCAATTCATTTCAGGCGTGACATGGACTGCAGCTATTGCTGTAGCAACCCGCGACTGGTGAAGCACGTTCAACTTGGGGTCAAGTACGGAACGGAAGTCTTGTTTGTGTTTCCCTATGGATCCAAGTACCTTCTTAGGAAGTGTTTGGGGTATAATTTACTATGATTTGGAGGCTTAAGTACCTTCTCAGACAGTGTTTGGATCCATAGGGTTTGAAGCAAGCTTATAACATTGACAGAACGCAAGTTTGACTTCAGTTAAGTTGCCCATTTCTTCCAATCCTTCCGTCAGATGAAGTATATAATAAAACGATCCCCGATTTTGCCGAAACTTAGTTAACCATCGAAAATGGGAGATTTCTTCTTGTTCTTGTTCGGTTGACAGCATGATCTTCAGGCCTACTGGAATAGAGCGAATGCCGACTCGGACACCTTTCTGCATTGTGCAGCTGTGCGACCCTCGGATGATCTGCATTGAACGATTAGGGTTTGTCTGAAAACAGGATATACCATTGATATACCGTATCTTTATATATCTTTATTGGTATGTCGTATTTTTATTGATATGTCTAGTATGTCATGGGAGCAAAAGCAGAAACCGTAAACCATGGAATGATGTTGGGGGATATGGTCCTGGTTGAAAAAATCATTGAGACCCATCTTGATGGCCATCCGTGGATGTGCCCGTTGAAGATCCTCAACGATTGAGGCCAGAAGGAACTTCTGGGTGATGCGCTATGTTGCGCTGATGCCTTGGGCGTTGAGATTCAGCACCAGACATCTCACATTGAATTGGGGGGACGATGCCATTTCCTGCCGCAGCTCATGAAACTCATGAAACATGTACCCTCTGGTAAACTAACGTAGCTATGGAAAATCACCATTTTCAATGGGAAAACTCACTATAAAGGGCCATTTTCAATAGCTTTTTGTTAAATTACCAGAGGGTAAGTTTGTCACTTGCTAACGTCATTTTGAACTGATGATTCTGTGACTTCGATGCAACTTGGACCTGGAAGGGAACGTAACGCCACAGGTCCCATGCCGGTGAGATACTTTTTCGGAATGGAAGGACGAGTGCTTTGGAGGCACAGCAGAAAACACTCCTTGAGTCGACCTTGAGATAGAACTCGGCAAGTTTTCAATGTTGCTATCATCCAAATTCATCCATTGGAAGAACAGCTATCATCAGCAAATAGCTACACCTTCATTTTACTCACTAAATATCTAAATCTATGGCTGGGAAAACCCCGAAGCCATGGACCAATGGAGGGACCTCACCTGGCCATGCCGTGGTGGCCATGGAGGCCATGGACCTTAAAGTATTCCATGGGTTTTCCGCGGATCCATGGCCACCTGAATTTAGATGATGGATGAGGATGGATGAGGATGGATGATGATGGATGATGATGGTGATTCTGATGGTTCTCCTTAAGTTTTCCCACTCAAAATTCGGCCGAAAAACCACCAGATTCGATCAGCAGTGACCGCAGGTTCTTCTTGAGAAACTCGAGGAGGTGCTCTTAGAAAGCCTCACATGGAATGATGGCTGGAATTGCTCCCCAATTTATGGCAATTCTTCATGGATTTTAGTGGAACGTGATGGGATTATAATGTAATATGGGATCAATATATATATATATATATCAATATATCAATATATAGATAATGGGACCAAACATATTTGGTTGTGTCTGAAAATTGGGCTTTAACCACCAAGAAAATGCATGGTTTTCAGGGAAAATAATGATCAACGAACAAAGTGATATGCGTTATATATATATATATACACATGGGCTTTGCAAGATGCTGCTGGCATGAGACCGATGAAGGACACATTATTCATGATGGATGTTTCATTTTGCTGTGAACGATCACGGACATGCCAGTGCTGTAGGTGGGTGTGTCCTGCCCTACAGCTGATTTTCCAGAGATGGAGGCCAGAGAGTGCCTGGTGACTTGATAAAAAGGCCGTATTTCAAGATTTGAAACCCCCAAACGCAAACTCCAAAACTCCAAAGGTGCATCATCAGATTCCCGTTTCAACTATATTCAACATGCTTCCCAATATGATGATTCCCATGATCTATTAATTATTAATATGTATTAATCCATTATGTAGTATCCATTGTAATATGGTTATCAAATTAATGTTTCCTGCTATGTCCTTACTTATCCCCCAAAATTGGGCGAACTGGCAAACTTGTCCAGTGACCGAGACCGGAGGTGAAACGATCATGGATGGACTTCTCACGGTGAGCACCTCTGTTAGTGGCCATGGCCTTCCAAAGATGGGTTGTGGGTTTGCCCAAAATACTGGGGTACAGCTCAAATTCATGCAAAATTTGAGTTAATCAATATGTTAATCAGCATTTTCATTCATGTTATTCATTGTAATGGCATGTAATGGCTATAAATTGCCGGGTATACATGGGTATATACCACATTTTCAGACAAAACCCCAAATGATGTGTACCACCCTTCCATGGCCCATGAGGTACTTACCCATGGCAGAACCGACGGCCTTTGCGGACATGGAGTTGGAGGCGTTTTTGAGTCATCCTGCGAGTCATCCTGCGGGCGCTAAAAATGATCCAATGATCCAAGCAGTTGATATGTTTTTATATCCCCTAAGACAATTGGATCATGGATATCATGGGAAAATATGCCGAAGAGCCTCGATTTGGACGTAAAACAAGATGTAGAAATGTCGAAAATCACGTTTTCTATAGTGATTTTCTAGTAGATGTCCCCTTAGACCAATCCAATGAATCCACATGAATCCCCAATCTGTGGAGGTACAGCAATCCACAGGCACTTACAGAGTAGCGGCCCACCGCTGTGTACTTGGTGCTGCATCAGGTGCTGGTGATGGTTCTGGGTGAGTAAGTGTTAACTTTTTTGGGGGTACTAGTAGATATTAGAGAGCCAAGTCTGCCACCAAAATTTTAATATATGTTACACATACGTATTATATATAATGTATGAGAACATATACATTGTAGATCTTTAAGATTCTTTTCAAAATGATTATTCTTTCAGTGATATAAAACTGATTTTGCATGTTTGATGGTACTTCTGCACAGCATTTCTGCTGTGATATGCTATCTCGTCCTGATTTTTTATCTTTGGCTCACAGGCAACTTGGGCAGCTTGTAGGTCAAAAGCCGTCACAGACACAAAGAACAACATTTTTCCATGTTTCCAAAAGACCGTCACCAAGATATATCAATATCCCTTCAGCAGGTTTCCTGTTTACATCTGTTTACATCTGTTTACATTTGTTGACACACCGCTCGAGTACAGTTCCAGCTAGAAGCACCTTCCAGCTATTTCCAGTTTCAAGTTCTTGAAAGTCTGTTGCAAGGTCACACAGAATCCATCACTGTTTCTCTCAGGGATCGGGGGGAGGATCGGATGAGGCGATGGGCATTGCACCCTGTGCTGGTGAGCAATTGTCCCATGGCTGAGAGAGTCTTGGGCTGTGCAGTTTTTAAGGGAATCACTGCTGTGATTTGGGTGTGTCTGAAAATAGTGTACCCCATTGTACCCAATGGTTTTGCTGATCATTATCCCTATTAAAGGGCTATTTCATTGGGGGTATACCCAACATTTTCAGACAAACCCATTTCAAACAGGAATATTGGACATCACCTTATAGTAGCCATTATATACCATATACCTAATGGTTGGGTGATGTTCAATGGGGACATTTAATGACCCATGTTCAAACAGGAATCAGTGACACTTCGTTCGTTCAAAGTTTTTCACGCCACAGGGTAGTTCCTAGGAGGCTAAACAGGATGCTGCAGGATGCTGCAGAAGAATACCCTCTGGTTATGACTAACATAGCTATTGAAAATGGCCATTTAGAGTGGATTTTCCCATTAAAAATGGTGATTTCCAATAGCTATGTTAGTTTACCAGAGGGTATGTCATATATGTTCAATATCCAAAGTAGTCAAGTAGTCCATGTATTGTGTGGTGTGGATAAACATAGATAAAACATGACTTGGTTTTCAACGTGTTTTAAAATATGTGGATGTTGTGGGATGTTGTGGGCTTCCCCGAGGCAAAACTGCTGCTCCACCGAGCCTTTGGCCTCCTATCCTGAGGTGGGCTGAAGGATGGTATCAGGATGTATATATTAGGTATTATCATGGGTATATGATCATTCCATCTATACCTGATTTGATGATCCAGGCACAAAAAAATTGTGAGCCCCACCCAATTCGAAGGATCGGATCCGACCGGATCCTTATGGATCCGTATCGATTCCGGCTTCACAGTTCATGGCAGGCCAGGCTTCAGAATGGCTTCAAAGAGGAAGTGGCTACACACATTGTGAGAAAGCACCCAGCTTTGTCCGGAGCCGCGGAATCGGATGCTCCGGGATTCTTCACTCGCCACTTTGGAAGACCAGAATAAATAGATATAACATGATATAAATACTCTACTCAACCAGGGTTTCTGATGGTGTTTTGCAAGTATATAGGGGGAAGAGATTGCATGTCATGATGCTGCCAAAAAGTGTGAGGGAATTGCAAGGGCGTCTCTAAGACTAAGACTCTTTATGAGAGATGCAGTTAGCAATCTAAGGAGCGTTGATGCATCGCGTTGCACGAGACAAGTCTTTGCATTTTTTGCAGTATGTTTTTTTTGCTTACTCGCACATCATAGCGGGCTTCAACGCTCAGTTGTCATTTGAATGAGAACAAATGCATGAAAACCATGGCGAAGTCCATGCTATGACAAGAATTTCAACGAAGAGCATCAAACTTGGGGCTTGGGGACTATCTAACTTTGAGTGCTGATTGAAGAATTTGTGCAGAATGATGTGAAATATATCTACGTAGTTTGCTCACTCCATTTTTGTTTGGGGGCAACAAATCAAGGCTTTCTTTATAGTTGAGGCCCCTCTCAGTCTCACAAGAAGTAGCCATTGCCACCGTGATTAGTTTAAGACAGGTACATTCACTGGGAATCAAGGCCACATCTATGCCCCTGTTTGGGTCGCATTGAAAACTCCTCTTCCAAAGAGTAGCCAGATACAGATCGTCATAGGAATTTGTAGGAAAGGAGCAGATCCTAATTGAAAACTCCTCTTCCAAAGAATAGCCAGATGCAGATCATCATAGGAATTTGTAAGAAAATAACATATCCTAATTGCAAACTCCTCTTCCAAAGAGTAGCCAGGTGCAGATCGTCATAGGAATTTGTAGGAAAGGAATAGATCCGAATTGAAAACTCCTCTTCCAAAGAGTAGGCAGATGCAGATCGTCATAGGAATTTGTAGGAAAGGAGTAGATCCTAATTGAAAACTCCTCTTTGAAAGAGTCGCCAGGTGCAGATCGTCATGGGAAATTATAGGAAGAGGGGAGACCCTAATTGAAAACTCCTCTTCCAAAGAGTAGCCAGATGCAGATCGTCATAGGAATTTGTAGGAAAGGAATAGATCCTAATTGAAAACTCCTCTTCCAAAGAATAGCCAGATACAGATCGTCATAGGAATTTGTAGGAAAGGAATAGATCCGAATTGAAAACTCCTCTTCCAAAGAGTAGCCAGATGCAGATCGTCATAGGAATTTTTACAGAAAGGAGAGATCCTAATTGAAAACTCCTCTTCCAAAGAATAGCCAGATACAGATCGTCATAGGAATTTGTGAGAAAATAACATATCCTAATTGCAAACTCCTCTTCCAAAGAGTAGGCAGATGCAGATCGTCATAGGAATTTGTAGGAAAGGAGTAGATACTAATTGAAAACTCCTCTTCCAAAGAGTAGCCAGGTGCAGGTCGTCATAGCACTTTGTCGGAAAGGAGTAGATCCGAATTGAAAACTCCTCTTCCCAAAGAGTAGGCAGACGCAGATCGTCATAGGAATTTGTAGGAAAGGAATAGATCCGAATTGAAAACTCCTCTTCTCAAAGAGTAGGCAGATGCAGATCGTCATAGGAATTTGTAGGAAAGGAGTAGATCCTAATTGAAAACTCCTCTTCCAAAGAGTAGCCAGATGCAGATCGTCATAGGAATTTTTACAGAAAGGAGAGATCCTAATTGAAAACTCCTCTTCCAAAGAATAGCCAGATACAGATCGTCATAGGAATTTGTCGGAAAGGAGTAGATCCGAATTGAAAACTCCTCTTCCAAAGAGTAGCCAGGTGCAGTTCGTCATAGGAATTTGTAGGAAAGGAATAGATCCGAATTGAAAAATCCTCTTCCAAAGAGTCGCCAGATGCAGATCGTCATAGGAATTTTTACAGAAAGGAGAGATGGGAATTGAGAACCTGATGGAACCTGAAAAGCAGCTGCTGCAGTTGATAGATAACAGTCAGCATGACTACTGCAATGGGTGCCACTGAGGGAGCCCAAGTTCGAAAAGACCTTGGCGCAGCATTTGGTCCGAGACCTACGGGCCATATTTCAGGTGATTGAATAGGGTGAATAGGGGTCAAAAAACAAAAGGCACAGAAAACAAGAGATGGACATAGATGATATATAATATATAGATGGACTGATGATTTTTGGCAGTAAACCACAAAATATTTTTGGGATCACTTAGATGGGCCATGGAAACAGAGTTGAAACTCGGGTCAAACCAACGACTTCCCAATGGAAGGATGAACAATGATGAACATCCATTTGTCCACTAAGATGTTTACTGGTTGGTGGTTTTTAACATTGCTTTTATTTTCCATAATATATGGGCCTGCCAGGCCGTCGTGCTGACTTCTGGCGAAACAGCGAAACAGTGACTAATATTTTTCAGAGGGGTTGAAACCACCAACCAGTTTATCTTCACCATATCTTCACCAGATTTCACTAGTAAGCCAGGCTTTTGCTGCTCACATGGGAAGCATTGACGACTCAGGCTACATCTCCTGCCGGTCATGCAGTGTGCCCCTCAACATGGCGTGGTTCGACACGGGTTGTTCCCATCATAGGCGGTTTAAGGGCTGCAGGATACCCAAAAATATTTTGCCAGCAAAAACAATGGTTTCTGGTTCAGATTTTCCCTTCCATTGAACGTCAATTTTTAGGCAATATATAGCAGCAATAGAAGTAAGTACGGTTGGTTTCCCCATCAATTATAATCCCGTCAATATGAATCAAATCCCCAAAGAAAGATCACCATATTAATCCCCACATCCCCAAAAATCCCCACATCACTATAATCACCAATAATATTAGGTGATGGATCAAAACCTATAATATAATATATATAATATATATATTATTACCAGATACTACCAGATTTTGGGCAATCAACCATCCTTAACCCCTTAGAATCCCCAAAGAACGGACCGGATGTTCCTCCAAGGTTTGGAAGGGCGACTCCATTGATTCGCAACAGAGCCAGCAGAGCCATCCCTCCAGCGTTCCGAAGGCCGGTTTGAGCAATGAAAACTCGAGGGGTAACATGGGTTAATCTTGAAGAAAGCAAAATAAAGCAAATATATTGCAAAGTATATAGCTAAATCTGAATTATGCTAACTGGTGTCCAAACAGGCTGCCGACCACTTACTTATATAATCCAGAGGACATCGTTGTTTGCGTGTGTCTCGTCTGTATTTTTGTTGATGCCTCTTAAGAGAAGCCAAAAAAAGAGGCTAGGAAAGATGACGAAGTGACCTGACCTCAAATGTTTCACATTGAGGTGCTGTCAAGCGATTCGCAGGAGCCTCCGGAGTTGCATTAGTAATACAATGATATACAATATAGCAGGTTTTATGATGTTTTATCTTTGAATTCAGTTGCATCAAACTTCAAACAGTGAAGAAAGCAGTTGCCACTGCCTGTCGCTCCTGAAATGGCCCAAATGGATCCAAATGGATGCACGGGATGCACGAGATTTTTCATTTC